CTTTCTTCGTTTGATTGAAATAGTACTCGTTCAATGATATGAATACAATGCAGTTCATGATGGCGTGAAAGGAGCCGATATTCCATATAACTGTAGGAACCCCTGAACTTGAAACTTAGACTATCCCCTGTCATTACTGGTATACAAATAGGTACTTGGATGTGTAAAGTCAATATCAAGGCAGCTACGATTCCAGGTGCTGCATGTAAAAATGATGGAATCCTGAAACTGTTGTTTTTCGTATATCTTGGAAGATAGAACTATACGAGAGAGTAATGGCCAAATTGTTCAGTAAACGAGTTTGAACCTTCTTGGTCGCTTCTGTGAGAAACTGTGTTTTCTCTTTAAACTTGAGTATACAGATCCCCAACAAGACAATAAATGTTAGAATGATGATAACGGTTACCGTAGCAAAACCCGAACCCGCATATTCTATAAATACAGGGTCGTTGACATAGAAAAGATTAGAATCAGTTAAGGGCTTCATATGGGGGCAATCCTACGAAGTAGAAAAGTTTTATATTTTTTATAAATGGCCTGACTTTTATCAAACTTTCTCTTTCTCCTCCTGGGTTGTATAGCTCTATGGTATATAAGAGCAGAAAGAGTTGAGGAGCAATGTAGACGGCAAAAGTGACAAGCAACACAGTATTAATGGTTCCCTTCTTGCGAACCCCATAGATGATGATCATAAATCGATATAGCAAAACCAGTAGAGCTAGCATCAATGACAAGGCTTGCAACATAAGATCAATGAGAAGAAGGATGAAAGAATTCACGGTGAGTAACCCCATTTTGGTAATGAGGTACGCTGGCATATATTGAACGGTCATCTGAAGCAAATATGTATTGATCGTATCTGAATGAAGTTATCTCACAACAAGAGCATTAAAGATCGAAAAAATGGTAGCGAGTACGTGATAACTCAATAAATACATCTTGTAGTGAATATCCGTGTGAGGAGGAGTTACAGCAATAACCAAATAGGATGTGTAGATTGAAGCAGGGACAGTCAAGAGAAGTACCAAATTCGATGCTATAGGTAACCATACAGGAGGTGGTTCATACACTTCGGGACACAGAGGCATTTCCTCTGGAAAGATGAAAAGTAGTAATCATTGCGGAGAAACAGTGATTGTCTGAATACGCTAACTGAAACATTGCACGTTTTCTATAAAGGAGACATGCCGATGTCAATTAGGTGAACATATCTATGAATCTGGCCAAGTGATGTGAGACAGAAACAATAGTTTTGAGTTATGATTGATGTTTCTCTAAGGGTTATCGAGACCTTCAGAAGTTCTGAAAAAAATTTAAAGCTAGAAAAACATTCAAGGCGGCTGATCAGAATTATAAATTCAAAACTTTTCAGCTGTCTGTGTATTTGCGAGAGCTCTGTAACTAGCCGACATCCAATGGTGAGCAAAGATCTATTCTAGGCCTCACATACAAAGATGACTTGTCTTTTCACAATAGGGTCGTAGAGATCAACTGAAGGTCATTTGTGGACAATCTTAGAAGCTGAAGCAATTTCTCCTTTTTTCCATAAAGGCTTAACCTTTAATAAATGGCATACACTAGTAATGAGAACTGTCCCAATGTATAGAAGTTTGATGATGTGAGCAACACAACACAACACTAGGTTCCCTTCTTACTAACACCGTAGTTGACAATCAAGAATCGATAGAGCAAAGTCAGTATAGACAGAAGCAATCAAATGAAATGTATAGATTGAAGCACAGACAGAGACGGTGCGCCATTGAAAGTTTCAAGAAATGTTAAGAATTATTACTTTTTTAATCTAAGAATTAGGCTTGTATAAGCACCGAAACAAACTTCATAAGGCCTCCACTAGAGATATCGATAGTTTCGAGTCGAAATAGAAAGCTTGGAATCTGAAGTTTTCGAAGATAGAGTTGACAGACAGTAGTTATCAGACAAGCTTTATTCAATACTATCAAGGTCTTTAAGATAAAGCCATAACTACACAAAAATCGACGAAAACGGCTTTCCCGAGCAGCACCACAATTTCGGTGAACTATCAGCTGTATGAACATATCGAGAGCTTTCTTACTAACTGGAATCCATTGTGGAGCAAAGATCTATTCTAGGCATCACATACAAAGATGACACGTCTTCTCACAATGACGCCTTTTCTGTGCTTCGCTGTAGTGACTATTCGAACAGAAGCCGTTTTTCAGCCATTCGCCACAACTAGAACATGGAATGAAACAAGTGTAAATGTTAACGTTCTAAACTTTGAATTAGTGTCAAAGCATTGCAACTTGACCGATTCCATATCACAATAGGCACATGTGCGCCTGCAGTTTTCCTTCAAAATGGTAATTCAAGAGCAAGCGATGATTAACTGACTTTGACAAAAAGCTCCATGCCAATGGTGATGCACATCACAGAATTACAGTTATCAATTTCGTCTTTACATCTTTCTAAACAGCTTTATAGGTAATGCATAAGTTTGCTCTATGACAAAATATCTGAATATCTCTAAGAATATTCAATTGCTATGACCTGTAGAGCATAAACCACAAGTCTTCGGACAGTCCTGCGACAGTATGTCAAACCAATGAGCATTCTGGCACATTTCCTTTGTCACAATATCACAATCAACTCTAGGGACTTGAAAACCATTTGGAAATGAGCTATAGGAGATAAACCTTCAGAGTTCAGACAGTTGTAATCATTCGTCAAGCAACAGTATCCACATCGTTGGGGACAGGATGTTATGGCTACTCTTCTGATATCCGTTACTACCTCTGTACCTTGCGGATTAACAGTCTGAACTGCTTATGAAAGAGATTGGAGTCTAGAAAAACCGTAAAACAAGAAAGAGGACGTTCATCAGATTTTCCCTCTACAACTTCCTTACCAGGAAATAAGGTTGAACAAGCAGTATTAGAGTACACGTTCTTGCAACTGGTCGACTGATTGGAGAACTGTAAAGAAGATAACAGAATAGAATCTAAATGGTTAGTATTACAACTAGACCATCGTCTCCATAAAAGGTACAACTGGGATCTATTATCTCTGCTATACATTTTCCTGTACAGATGAGAAAAACAATGAGTCTCATGGAAAGATGTTCAGCCTCAATCTCCTCTCGATCTATTTATACTTTCATTCATCTATTTGATCATCCTTATGAGAGAATCAGCTGTAAGCACCTCCAGATTGTGTATGATGAGATAGGAGAAAACATAATTGTTATAAATAAATGAATGTTCGACTCAGTACTCAGCAAAAGCTTTGTGAAAGCGAGATTCGAGCTGAGTAGTAGTTGATCAGCTCAACGGGATTCAACGTTGCAAGAGATGATAGGATGTAAGATTGTCCATCTTTCTTATATGAAGATCTTCCATATTCCATCCTACTTCCCTCTCAAGAGCATCATTGTCCATCCTCACCACTACATAGCTATAATAGTAGTTTAGAGAATGCTTATAGTGGGAGGTTTCAATTGTATTCTGGTGTATTTACTCAGTTGTATTCGGATTGTTGTTGTTTGGTTTGTTTATAATCTCATAATTATAAACAGAAAAGCAAATTTTGAAAATCAACGATGATCAAAATGATTAATTATAACTTCTTTCTAGCAGAGTTGATTCGCCGTTGATGGTAGTTTTTGAAGAGAAAGAGAAGCTCTGTAAACAGACAGTTGTTTGTTCCATTCAAGCCATTTGAGGTATTACTCTGCATGGTAGTAATGATGTCAGATTCGTCTCTACTTATAAATGGAAAATGTAGTTTTAGGATTCAAAGATATCGCAGTTACAACCTAAGCAATGATGGTGTTGTTAAGACAGAAACTAGATAATCATAAGCAGTGATGTCTAGAATCTTTAATCGTTCAGCCGATTATAAAATATTCATTCAGCTTCTTGAATTCAATAATCAGCGAAGCTTATGTATTGACGGAGATGAAGAACACGTCAAACGAAATGTTTGTTTCAAATCAGCAGAGGGTTATTTACGTTATGGTTAATTCATATATTTGTATAATTACCTTGAATATCAAAACAACGAGTTATTTCAGCTCATGAATCAAATCTGACGAAACGGAAAGGTGTAATAAGCCTAGCCGAAGGCAAAAAATAATTTTTCTTCCTCACATGCTTTCATATGCTTGAGTAGATAGTGGTTCGAGTGGTTGTTCGCAACGCTATGGACACCCAATCGATCTAACTGTTCTTCATGCTTCATGAAAGTGTTATCTTAGCCATATCACATAGATATTTGCAAGAATCTAGACCACTGTGCCAGAGATTCAAGTGCAATCCATTTGATTAGTCGTTAAGAGAAGAATGACCTGAGTTATGATCTTCCTTGAGGGAATGGTGTGAACTCAGAGGATTGTAAGCTCCTATCATCCTACTTACTGTACTTAATGAAATTCGTGAAAAATCGTTTTTCACATGTCCCCTTAGGAGAAAAATATTTTTTTTTGTTCAGATAGAGGATCTGTGGTTAAGACTAGATAACAGCTAGACACACTCGTGAACAACATAGTTTGCTCCCCCCATGCTTTGAGAAAAGGGGGAGGGGGTACCAAACTATTTTGTCCACGATTGTACATCTTGTACTGTTGTTCTGGGTTGCCCAGGTACGATCACGTAGAATGTTTGGAGAGAAGTAGAAACGGTCAAGTGAAGTGCGCAGTTAGACTCATACACTTTGTACAAACCATGGTTTATAAACGAAAAACAAAACTTAAGACATATAATTATAATGTGATATCGTAATAGATTGCACTGAAGACGTTTCCTGTTGTCAATGAGTGCACAAACAATAAAAAGCTTTATGAACTCGAGGGATTATGGTAGTTTTTACAAACTTTAAACTATGTCATATGAATGGATATATTGAACAAATAGTTACGAGATAGTAAATCTTTTAAATTCTAAAACATCAGTATGATCTATCAACTTGACCCGTTTGAGATAAGTGAGGAAGGAGTTTAGAGATGGGAAGACGTCTAGATAACTGATGAGACTGTCGTTCACATTTTGGAGTCATGAAGATATGAGTTTCGTTCGGAAGTGGATGAAAGCTCATCTAGTGGATTTGAGATAATACATAATCGCCAAGCGATTACTAAATACAGAATACATGCTCTCTGCGCATAAGCATAGGATATGACCTTGAGAATGCTCAATAATCAAATAATTGCGTTAATTTATCCAATTAGAGTCATGTGAATTTGCAGGTTCGCGATCTTTGATCATCTGATAACCTTCTACTGATCTTCTACGCTCGCAGTAGCATTGAAAATCTGTAGTTGAGCGTAATGCGCATGGATTTTGAGCTCCTTCGATTGAGATATGAAGTAAAGTATAGTGATTGTTATCACAACAAGATTTCTAGATTAAAATGTAAGAAAGGGCTCTTCAAGTGTAAATATGACTTGGAGGAGCCACTTTTTGCTTGATGCACACAAAACATTTGAAATCTGAAACAATTTAATTATAATGATTGAATAGAAGCAAGAAAACCTTTCTTTACTTGAGCTAAATAGTAATCGTTGAGCGAGACAAACACAATGCAATTCATTATGACATGTAATGAATCCATGAACCATATCAAAGAGGAGATCCCTGGAGATAACAGAATAACACCTCATCTGGAAAATAGAAAAGCCATACATAATTCCAGCTGTAGGTTGAGTGCCAACACTGGAACTGCTGCCATCGCTGGAATTCCATGAGCTAAGCTCGGAATTCTAAAATGTTATAAGTTTAAGAAAGTTATCAGAAGACTAGATCCTACGCTAGAGCACAAGCCAGGTTGATAAGCACGCGAGTTTGTAACCGCCTAGTTGCTTTTGAGAAAAATTGTGTTCTTTCCTTGAACTCTCGCATGCAGAACAGTAATCCTATGGTGAATGAGAAGAAACTGAATGTAGTAAACAGAACAACTCGATGAACGATGTTATCCTCGAAAGCAGGATCGTTCATATATATCAATTCATGAGAGTCAGCCAAAGGTTTAAAATGTGGACAATCCTCAAATATACTTTGTAAACGAAGATTCATTGGAAGTCTAACTGACTTTCAAAAGTCTCTCTTTTGCGGAGGTACCATTGTATGTCGTTTGAAAGTATAGAGCTGAAGTTCCTGCTGGCACGCAGGAGGAAAAAATCAAACAAAAAAAAATTATTCGAAATGTCTTCTTCTTTCGATCTCCATAGAGAACAATAGAGAATCGATAGAGCAAGACTATCAAAGCTAATACTATTCCAACTGATTGTATAATGAGATCTATTGATAATAACAGGAAGCTGTTCAAGTTTAGTAAGCCGATTTGTACATACAAAAATGCTGGCATGTAATGTACTATAGTCTGTATGGAATGAGAAATAGAAATGAGTTATTGGTAGATGAAAACAAACCACAAGAGAGTTTAAGATTGAAGCAGTACTTGACACAATGTGATAAGCCATAAGATACATTTTGTACTGCTGATCTGTATGCGGTGGCGTAACTATGCTAATCAAGTAGAAGGTGTAGAAAGATGTTGGAATCGAAAGAAAAAGAACGATATTGGAAGTTGGAGCTAACCAAAATGGTGGTGGTTCATATACTGTTGGACAGCGACTCATTCCAATAGCTGAAGCGAATGTTCACAACTAAGAGCGTGTATGAGCACAACATCAATGGGCGGGTAACGTAGAATTGAAAATATCAACCAGCTGAAATAGAAGAATACAACTTAATTGATATAATGAGCAAGTTGGCCCATACATGAAGATCTATTATTTTCGAAGAAGCTCTCAATTGAACACCTGTGCTTCTGTTGATGTCTGGCAAAAACAGCTTGATATTGGCATCTGGAAGTGTTCATACATTTATATTCAAATATAAATTGTATAAGATATTTCAACATTCGAACATGAAGCTGATGCATTCATGAGACTTGCAGGTGTTCAAGACCTCTCCAAGTAAAATATTTGTTTCAATTTCTTTTCATTAATCCTAATTATTATGTTTAAAATGAAGCCGTCGAGACTGTAATCAGATTATCATGAGTCTCATGCACTACCGCTAACCAATTAAAATTCTTTAAAGAAATGAAACGATCGAAGATTTCATTCCTGACCTGACTACTTAAGTGAGCGGTCGGATTCCGTGAATCGACCTCTACAATGGATTGAACTGCTTCACTCTGTCATTCACTCTCGTTTCTCTTCCTCATTCCCTGAACCCTGTACTTTCTTTGAAGAAAAATGTTGATATATAGTCAATCCTTTTCTTTCGCCTAGAAAGTAAACCCAGTGAACTTGACTAGTTTCCTACAGCATTATTGTTTATGCTGAATGTATTACGTATTTTGAAACCTTCTGTTCAATCAAAACATGAGTACCAAACTTGTGATATTGCTCGCAGTGCACTTGTGTGTTTCAACACTTACGAGGAAAACAGTTTAAACAGTGAGAAGCGAGCTACCTTGAGCAAGCGGTGGAGGTGTCAATTTCGCTGCAAGAACAACAAGCGCAGAGTAGCCTATCGTTCCAAGCGGAGGTCCTGAGTTCTTAATAGATAGAGTTGGTTCATAATCAATGCTAATAACAATGTCACAAGTTGAAAAAACGTTTTATAGATTGAAACCAGTTTATTTTTAGGAAGCTTGCATACGAATTTCCCCCTAATCACATGTTGATGACAATGTTTAAGCTTACTTGAAATCAATGTCTAGTCATCATAGATGGTAAACCATTACTCCCAAAACAGATGAAAAGGGAAAATGTATTTTTGAGATCATTTTTCGATTACAGCTTACTATTTTGCTACTGGGAAAATCATAGTCAAAACATTGATAATTCTACTGAAGTCTGAGAGATAAGAATGATTATACAAACAGCCCGAAGCTTCACCTTTCTTCATTTGATTGAAGTAGTAATCGTTCAACGATATGAATGCAATGCAGTTCAGGACCGCATGCGAAGAACCCAAAGACCATATGAAAGTCGGAACCCCTGAAACAGTTAACTAATGATCAAACTTTAACTAATCTATACATAAATCGACTTGAAGGTTCATAATCAATACAAACTCTGCCACGAACGCCGGAATTCCATGAGAGAAGCAAGGAATCCTGAAACGCTTTTTATATCATCAATTAGGATGTAAGGCTTCCTACGAAAGTGAAAGTGCTAGGTTAATGAGTAATCGGGTTTGTAAACGCTTTGTTGTCTTCGAAAATCCGCGTGTCTTCTCTCTGAACTCTTTTAGACAAAACAGTAACCCCACAGTAAATGTCAGTATGACAAGGATACTGTATGAAATCATTATATGATTGATGTCGGCTATGATTTCAGAGCTATTAACGTAAATCACTTCGTAAGCTTCAACAAGAGGTTTGAAATGCGGACAATCCTAGAAGTGTTTTGTATCGGATAGAAGATCAATGAGAGAACAAACTGTGGTCAATTCCTTCTTAGCAGATTCAAAATCAAAAATCATGGCAGCATAAATACATGCCACAATGGGTGGTAAGGAGAAGAGAAGAAATAATAAGAAATAAATAAAGTGAAATGTCTTCATCTTATGAGCTCCATAGAGAACGATAGAGAATCGGTGAAGAAGCACAATGAGTGCAAACATTATTACAATTGCTTGTATTACTAAATCCATTCCTAATAAAAATATACTATTCAGTCGCAGCAAGCCAACCTCAACTATTATAAATGCTGGCATGTATTGCACGTACGCCTGAAGGCAGAATGAAATCGAGTTGACCGTTAGATCAAACAAACCACAAGTGAGTTCATAATTGAGTATACGGAAGCAAAAATGTGATAAGTAAGTAAGTATATTTTGTAATGGCGATCTGTGTGAGGTGGAGTGACCGTTAGTATCAAATGAGAAGTATAGATAGAAGTTGGAATGATCAGCGAAAGCATAAAGTTCGATGCTGAAGGCAACCAAAATGGTGGTGGCGCATAAGTAATCGGACAACGATCCATGAAGATCTAGAAACAGCTGTCTTTGTTGATGTTTGTTTTTGTGTCAAACCTGAACGATATGAAGAAGTAGAAGAGCGAAAGCTCAGTGTGAAGCTCAAATGAGCAGAATAGCAGCCATTTTACTAGTTTTCAGCAGAATTTTTAATCTTGGACAGCTGAAAAAAGAAGTTTTCACTTAACCAGCATAATGAGAAAGTTCCTTCTCCCCAGATGATCTCAGGAATACTGAAATGTGAGTGGAGAAACTCGCTTCCTGATTGGTTAGTTACGTAGTTAGTCATCCATTTCCACTGTACAAAGTACATAAAGATCTTTATTGAATATATTTTAAGAACAACATTTACAATCAATTTCAGGTATAAGTTATCCGAAGAGGCCGCTTCTCTTCTCTCCTGGGAATTTTCCTGATAATTCCATTTGTCCAGCATCATAAATTTTCTTTGGAGTTGATCCAACGGTGACATAAGATGATGGGAGGTTGATGCGAACAATACGTTGTCCTGGCTGAAGTTTCAATGATTACTTTTATACTTGATGAACTTTGATTACTTTGAAACTGTCATCGCAGTTGTGATAGATAGCCAAGTATGGCTCGATTCCACTAATTTCCTTATTAGTACCAGTTAATAAGTATTTTCCTGATGAATCAGTCTTTCCTTCAGCCATGTTGTCATCGGTGTCAAAAACAGTTAGTCCGAAAGAGTCTTAAAAGAAATGAATTAGGAGACATACAGCTTGCTCCACTTACTATCTGATTCCATCAACTTTACTTTAACTCCAGAAGCTGGCTTTCCATGGCACTTCAAAGTACCTTGTACCTAATATAGTTAGTTTAACAACATTAAAAGTAATTCTTAAGACTCACACCAGCGGATTGTGTTCTTCCGATGAGATTGATGGAAGAGGCGCAGCCAACTAAGGCAAGTACAAGAAGATATTTCATTATCTGGAATAGGTGAAGAATGAGATGAAAAAGATGCTTTTCATGTAGACAACATGAGAATAGAAAGAGAAATTGAGGAACAGCCACAACCAACTTGAACGAGAAAGACTAACCAAAACAGTCTATTTAAAAGAAAATGATAGGGAATGGCATTAAGTACAATCAACCCGTTTATGATGAATCACTCTAGGGGGCGCGTCCTCGACGGAGAAGTTTCGACCGACAACTTCTTCTGAAACCATTGTATACTTTTTATCAGAAGATATTATTACAACAACAAAAGACCTTCAAATAGAAAACAATCTGATTGTTCGACTATGACTGCTCTTTCTATGTTCATGCCCTTGTTCATAGACAACATGCGGAAGTCACTGTAGTGCCCATGATGTCTAGCTTTCCGTGTCGGAAGCAATACATCGTTAAGGACACTATCCTTGATTAGTCTAATAACCTTTAGGAGAACACTTCAATGAAATAAAATTTTATTTTGTTCAATTCGTCATTTTATTTTCAGAGACAAAAATTTTAAAATAATCTTTTTTTTTTGAGATTCCAGCCAACGAGAGAGGACGATAGAGAGAAAGAGAGATGGAAGAACAAAGGTGGCCAGGAAGAAACAACATGAAAAACCTGTTTCAATGGGAAAAAATAATATTTTCGTAAGAAAATTAAGCACAATTAGATCTAATATTACAGAGTTTAGACTCGGTGGAGGCAATCGCGGGTTTCTCCTTCAAACTTTCCGGCTAATTGGAATGTTCCGAAATCGAAGATCTTGGTAGCAGTCTGAAATTGAAGAGCATATATAGATTATGATCATCCAATGACTTACCTCTCCGCTGACAATGTATGAGTCTGGGATATAGATGGTGAGCTTGCGTTGACAAGGCTGTAAAGATAGTCTCAAATATCGTTTAGGATAGAACCTCTACCTTAATTCCATCATTACAGTCATGGTAGATGTTGATTTTTGGCTCAATAGAGGTGAACTCAGAAGCAGTTCCCTTAATCAAGAAGTTTCCTTGAGAATCACTCTTTTCAGTGGCCATATGCTCATCAGGTGAAACTAAAAGAACAAAAATGAGTGTGAGAGTAATATGTTAATGTAAACTGACGTTTGTCTTCATCGTACATCTTGATCTTAACTCCAGAAGCTGGTTGATCGTTACATATGAGTTTTCCCTTAACTCCGACAGATTGAGCTCTTCCGAGAGCTTCTGTTTGTGTGATGGCTACAAGTAAAACAGCAGAAATGTAGAAGAATTGCATTCTGAAATTAGAAAAATCAAAATAATCTGAGAGATGAAGGTATAGTGAGAGGAAGTAGAGAAGAGAAAAGGAGATCAAATGGAAGTATCGACATTGGCATCGCCATCAACGACGTGGAAAACCAAAAATGGCACAGAAGGCGAGACAAAGAACAAATATTTTGTAGTAAGAAGGTGGGAGAAGATATTCAAGTTTTTAACCCATAAATGGGGAAGATAGATAGCTAAAGAGGTGTAAAGTATGTCTGAAAGACAACAAAGTCATGAAGAAAGACAATCACCCACGTCAGCTACTACGAAACAATTGAGATCTTGAGAGAGATACACCAGCGACTGACTATATGAAGCGATTATCATCGCTTAAATCATATTTTCTTTTCCACTGGTTGGTTGTTTGACGAATAATTGAGAAATCAAACAGTTCCTTTCCGTCCAATGATTCATCATCTAACAATCAAAATCTGTTTCTGAAAATACTTCAATTCAGACAGGGTAATGGGAAAACTACCTGCTGCTGACTGATCCGGAAGTTAGAAGAGTAGATTTCTGATTGAACTTTCGTTATTCTCGTGAGGCCGTTTTTTGTTGTTCACGACGAAGCTCTGATGATTCACTTCCACAAATAGAGTTTTTGCGACAAAAATAATTGAGAACTCTCCAAAACTGTATGATGAAGACTTTTAAAAGATGGATGTCAACGACGTCAATCAAATACACATTCATTTAGAGATTCAAGAAAAGTTTTATTAAATGATACATCATTTACAGTTATTTATAGATTCAATGACGATGAATACAATCTCTGGTTTCTCCTTTGTATTTGCCAGCCAACTGCATGACTCCGAGATTAAATGGCTGAAGATGATGTTATAGTCAAACGAGATATCTGAATCCTTCTAACCTTATTAGCTACTGTTCCTTTAGTAATGTACATGTCGGGAATCTTGAAGCTAATCCTTCGTTGACATGGCTGAAACAATAACATGGCTTTTCGTCTTCATAATATATATTCTTACAGTCCATCCATCGTCACAGTCATGATAGATGTTTACTTGGGGATCTATTGAGCTGATTTCTGTTTCTGTTCCTGATAGCTTGAACTCTCCGTTACTGTCTGTTTTATCCTCAGCCATGAATGAGTCAAATACTGGAATATCATGACAGGTGAAGAATTCAGGATTCTGCTAGCAAACTCACCAACTCCTTTCTCGTACAACTTCAGTTTCACATTCTTAGCTGGTTCATCATGACACATGAGCTTTCCAACCACTTGTACAGACTGTGAGAAGCCAATAGCCATAGAGATAGCCGGTAAAACAGTGCAAAGAATTAATAATTGAAAGCTATTCATATCTAAATAAGGACAATGAGCCGATGCAGTATTGATGAAGAACGAAAAGAAGAACAGCTGCACGATATCAACAACTATTGACCATTTCAATTAAACATAATGATGTTTCTAGAGATTGCTTCAACAGAGTGTCTTCTTTCTCTCCATTCTCTTTGTTTTCTCATTCAAAATGTAATGTACTGTCAATGTCTCAGCAAATGATGTAAAAACAACTTTTGAAATTGAAAACTTCATCATATATCTTCCTCGTTAACTGTTATCATATTACTTCATGATGAACGAATGATACAATGTGCGGTAAGTTATTAAGAATATAAAAAAATGTTTGCAAAAAAAAAAGAATAAAAGAAAAGGATAAAACGTTATTCATCAAAAAGTTAGTAAGGATACAAGCTTAAGATAAACGGATACGACGCTCATTTGATGTTTCTGTTACCAGGTTAATTGCTTGGGGTATGAATGGATGTACATCATATTGTGAAACTCGTAGTCCTTCCTGAATGAACAAACCTTTATAAGCAGTCTGTCTCTCTTTTTCTCTTTCACTCTATCTCTCTTTCTTCATCATTTTTTTCAACCCCTGTGTACGTTTCTCTCTCTCTGTGATTCATCACTTATTATCACTTGATCAAGAATGCAACCGATCTCTGTTCAGCCAACTTCACTTTAATGACGCCATTTCACGCATTTCACGTGATGACACGTTGCAGAATAAATGAGTTTGCATACCTGACTCTGAGCACTTTCACAAGCATGCTTCACTAGAATGTATCGCTTGCGATGAGACTGCTGTCCTTCATCACCGAGTAGATAGTTTCCTCTAGGATCTGTCACAACTTCATCCAATTGAGAATCAGAGCAGGCTTCTATAAAATAGTTCTATTGAATAATTATTTTCTCTTGTTTACTATCAGCTTCCATCCACAACTCGACAATATTTCCGCCTGCTGGCTTTGCTCCGCAAATGAGTTGACCGGAGTACTATAAAAGAACATTTATAATATGAATAGTTATGTCATTCCGTTCTTACTTCCATCAACGCTATGCTTGAACCAATTAGCAAGATGAAATAAAATAAGGATTTAAGCATTGTTTAACTCTAAACGTTCTGAAATATAACAAAAATTCTTCAAAAGAACAAAACCGCGGGAAAAAAAGTAAAAATAGATGAAAAGAGTTTTGGCTCAAGAGAGGCACACAATAGAAGAATAGAGCTGGATATGAATATATGAATCTCATCGCCAATGATAATATGGAAATCGAAGACATCCTATTTCAAGCTATGAAGTCATCATGTTTTTTCCTATGGATGCCTACTAATGATCTCCTCAGTTTCCCTAATTCACTAACAACAAACTACAAAATCTCCGGAAAGTCAATATGGCCTGCAAACAGCAATAGGATTGATATCCTGAGTGAATGAAGAATCATTGGTTAATCACTCTACCAATCAATAGATTCTTGCTCCGGAAATGCCATGAGGTTGATGTAATTGATCAAAGAGCTCGTGGGAGTTAATTGGAAACAGCGCTTAACATACATAGACACACACACACATACACATAGTCTTGATTTGTTTCCTAAAATGGCAGGCTTAAAATAGTTCGATAATCACTCATACGAAAACATCTCAAGGGGCAGTTATACCACAGGAATTGGACAAAAAAATAAGCTCAAAAGAGACAGAAGGAGGAGCAAAGGCCATATTTGAAAATTCTTTATTTCCCGTACCAAAAATCGCCTCAAGGGATTCATCTGTCACCCACTCATTCGCAGTTCTTGGTCTAAAACATAGGAAAATGCAAAAGAAGAAGGACCTGAATTCTATCAGCCAGTATCATAGAATATCCAAACAGGAGATCTTTCGAACAACATAAGACATTTGAATAAAACGTTCATTAACTAGAAAATTAAAACTTGTTTACAGCTGTTATTAAATTAGAAAATGATTAAAAGTACACAAAGGAGATGCTAGTGGATGATGTTGCCAGTCTCAAGCTTCACGAATCCTGGAGTCAATAAACTGAACATCCGTCAAGTCTATGTCGTATTGACTAATACCCTTGCTGATATCGTAACGCGATACACGTAATCCAGGCTGAAACAAAAACATGACTACCACATATATATGCTAATATAATTATAATTATCATGACTATATGGTAATATGACACGCCAAAATATGGAAGTACTTTCAAAACAAACCGTATTCTCATCATTACAATCGTGTTTGACTAGTATATAGCGCTCTGCTCCCAAGTTCGCTGGAACTTCGAAACGGAACTTTCCACCGAAACCGGCCATGAGCTCATCTAACATCATATCAGAGCAATCGTCTGATAAAAGAACACATTAATAGTGAAATGAGGTGCGTCTTCTCACTTTCACTTACTGCCCACACCTCAACCAGAGTTCCAACAGTTGGCCGAAAGCCACATTTCAAGGTACCCGTTATCTGTAGATTATTTCCATATTAGGATGAGTAGACAAATCGAGACACACACCGTTTCAGTTGGCAGAGAAGAAACAAAGCAGAAGCTTAGACAAATTAGAAAAACTGCCCTTTGGGTGTCCATGTTTACGATAAGAATGATGTATTATTCCCCAAGTGATATAGTAGATGATGGATATTAACTGACCGTAATAACTATTGTTAAAGGTCTAAAAATAACAAATGGACTATTGATTGGTCCACACTTCATGGATTGTTTCAAATTTTTAATGAGATTATAAGGTTGTATCCATGGATAATTAAGAATATGAAGAGGACGAATAATCCTTGTGAATTGAAATTCGCAGTACACATACACCCGACAGCATAATAGGGCGAAGACGATGAACAGAAAAAAAAATATTTACGAGGATATGTGTGTGCTTTGTATATAATGCTATTTGTTCAGTTTTTATTAAAATTCATTGAAAAAACTAAAAGTTTGGAAACGAAGATCACCGAAAGATGTGGCGAAGATTTGAATATTAGACTTTCTAAGAGACACAGCTGAAAGAAAGTGCAGTCGATAAAACTTATTTACAATCTTTAAGAATTTGGAAAGGAGGGGAGATAGAGAGAGAGAGAGAAAGAGAAACAAAAAAAGAAGGAGAGAAGCTATAAATATTTAGAGTACAGTCAACAATAGAGACATGAAGCTCGTGGGGGTTTCTAAGAAAAGCTATTAGAAACATTCAGAAAATAGTGTGAATTGCAAAACTGAAAAGATTCAGAGCTAACTTTCTTAATTATGCATCTAAAACTGTACAAAATAACTTTTTGTTTCTCAAATTTCGGCTTTGAGAAGAGAATTTTCAAAAAAAAAAGGATAAAAAAACATTTTTGGCATTTGGACTAATACTGATTCATCGAATAGCTAATACTGGTAAGAATTTCTAAAAATCTAAGAATTCGTTTAAAACAATATCTTTCAACTCTAAAATAATCTGAAAACCGGGCTTCTGCAGGACTGGGGATAATTATGGATCTGTTGATACAGATTGAAAGGCAGCATAAAGAGAGAACATGGAAGAGCAACCGTTCCATGGAACTGTAAATTAGAAAATGATTCATACGTGAAGGCCATGACAGAACTTACGTGGGAAATGAAAGCATCCGGATAATACTGAGAGACGGCTAGTATGTCTTCTGGTATACTGAATCTATTAAACAAGCAAGAATGGAGACAGGTAAGAGAGATCTCGGGCACAACGACAGTTATCAGTTCTTTCAACTCGTCTCCATATTCCATTGCAAGAACGTGGACCGATCAACTTCCAGAACCCTTCATCACCATCATCCAGATCGGATGCACACCTGAAGGAAAAACCCTAGTGAAAAGATTCAAATTCCCAGAACATACCTTGGAGTGTTTCGATGAACTTGCGCTTCAGGTTGGCACTCAGCACATATATAAGCTCCTCGATGTAGCCTAGACCTTATATGTCTATTCAAACAGTTCTGATTTACCCATCCTATCTCGTATGTTACACAGTAACTGAAATTAGCCCGTACAGGTAATGATCATGCAAGTTCCTTACTATTGAGCTGTCTTTAACTTCTCTGCCTGTAGACGAGTAAAGTGGCTCCTTGACTTCACATTTTTTCTCGTTGTATTGAAACGATAATCGATCAGCAGAGCTACAGTTGTTAAATCGGCTGAAAAATTGAAAACATTAAACTAATTTGATTTCCAATCATTACCCAGATGTCTTCGGTGGCAATGCTTGAAACAACTCCGCGTTTCTTTCAACGGCGGACATTCCGCTCCCCCACCTTCTCGTTCTTGGGTGATCTTCCGCTCTCGTATTTGGACACCTGCATATAAACATAGTCCTCAAAGCTTATTTTGACGAACCTGTGCCACATTTTCCCCGATCTGCTCGGCAAGGTTGCCAAGCCTCCCAATCTCCGACCAAACAATCTTTGGCTGAAAAAGAGAAAATGACAGTTTTGAAGAATATGACTTACGCGGACAGACGAATGTGTAATCGGAACAACAATCGCCTAAACCAATGCATGCTTCATCACAATAACAGTCTATAGGAGCCGCTTCAAGATACTAATAATAAGGTTTTGTTAAGAGTGGCTCTTAAGGGATGGGGACACCTGTATACTATATGTCTCCTTGCTTTTCGCTTCCTCGTTTGTGGTTGTCGATACTGTCAAAGGTAAGTGTCGAGCGATGACCGAGTATCTTGAATGTATACAATTTCAAAAGAAGAAGCTAGACAGAATGTACCGTAGCAAAAGATGTCTGGGTCTTCCAGATGAACCGGTAGATTGGAATACCAAACTTTCATCAGGATTTTCATCAATGGTTTCAGGCTTGCCGAATATCAAGTGCGTTATCTTAGGAGCCGGAGTTGTCGTTGTGGACATCAGACGAGCTTTCTGAATTAACTTCGCAGGCCCATTGTCGTCCGAATTTACTAAATTGAAAGTTTGAATATTATATTTTTCGCGGGATAAGGTTGTTTAGTTCATTAAGAGAGATAAACAAAGATGTTGTTGAGAATGAAAGTCAAAGAAATTTGAATTTACCTTCTATTTCATGACCGTCGGGTAGGATGAGTTTGCCAATTTTCTCTTGACCATCAACCTCTACAATCTGGAAGACACAAGTACGGTTATGAGGTATGGGAAAGAAAAACGAACAGCTGGGTATACGAGCTCATAGCCGTCGTCAGTTTTCTTATAATAAGGAGTTTGTAACCCTGGTTTCAAATTGCTAAAATCTCTATAAAACAAAGAGAATGAAGAGAAAGTTAATAAAGTCATAAACATACTTCGATAAATTAGATAAAGGACTGACTGTTGGTAGGTGGTCGATGCCATCATCATTAGCCTGAAAAGAAAGAAGTAAAGGTAATGAGGAATGGTGGGATGAGGTTATCTTACTCGACAGGTATTATTACGTCCGGCACAACATAATCGTCGTTGATAACATCCAGCTTCAATGAAGCTATATTGATAAAATAAAAGTAAAACAGCGAATAGAAAAGACAATTTAGACATCAGCACATCTGAAAGAATAGAAGATGTAAGAGGTAAGATACATTTTCAATACAATAGCTATAACAATGAGAAATTTGTATTAAAGTCAAGTTATGAAGATGAAAAGGTGAACGAATGAACGTTGGAAATGTATGAAACATAGCTTTAGTGAATAGAAAACCTCACGAACTTTCCTATTTCAAGTATTGTGACGTCATTTAACTTTTTTCTTTCCGTGTTATTAGTTTGGTATATTGATAAGAATTATCATAAACTAGTCTGAACTTCTAAAGATAGACACACAACTTCATACTTGGGCATAGAGACTAACTTAGGGAGGGAAACTGATAGAGAGTGAGAGCAAAGCTTACACAAAATCAAAAATGAAAAAGAGAAGCTTGTAATTCTGCCTTTTCAAGCTCATTCAAAGCTGAAGCTTCTTCAAATTTGCGAAGAACTTTTTTTTGAGAAAACTAAATCATTCGAGTCAGCATCTGACCAGATTAATGCTTTGATATCATTAGCGTTGACCACATTTGGACGAAACAGAATAACAGCTTACCGCCCTCAGAATATTGATAAGGAAAAAGCTTGGTTTGTTCAGAAAATAGTAAGTCGAACTGTTAGCTCAAAAAAAGGTTTTGAAGAAAGGAAAAGGTCTGCCAGAGACTAAATCAAAAAGAAATGATGATGATGATGATGAAAAGAGTTCGAAGCATGAAATCAAAGCTTCACGATAAGCTTTAGAGATTAATCGCACAACTTCAAACCTCTGCTCATCCATGCAAAGAAATACAAAAAGCAAATGATTTTAACTTTAGATTTGTACATCTATAAATAAAGCTTTATGTAAGTCAATCAGCGACCACAAAAAACACATCTACAGCAGAAATCAGATAAAAAACGACAAGCAGTCATAGCCAGCAGAGCTCACAGGAAATGCTATAAAAAAAAGATGGAAAAGCTAGAGAAAGTTGGAGATGAAGCTGAATTTCAAACAAAATCTTAATGTTATAAATGTATGATATAAGCTTTTGACTATAAAAATCTGACATAAATGGGCAACATCTCATTGAACTAAGTAACATTGGAAAATAACTTCTGTAATTTCGAGATGTAGAAGATGAGCTATAATGAAAGTTCAATGAATTGAAATGAAAATTGAAATCCTATGAGTAGGTTCTAGAAAATTGATGACGATATAAGAGCATTAAGGGAGAGAACGAGAGAGAGTGAATAGACTGATGGTGCTTACATACTGATATACAAAAATAAGCTGATGACCGTTTTAAGCATTTTCTGATGAAGAGCACGAAATGTATAACAATGCGACTGTTTCTTAACAGGTTTATGATAAGCTATTTCAAATCTTCAACACAACCGATCTATGCGTGTGCATGAATTCAAATGACTCATTGACGGTCTTGATTATCACGTCATATGCTAATGAAGTGTCATGAAGTAACGTCACATTGTCAGATGAAAGGAAATGGATTTATGATTGAAGATGTTATTAAAGATTTGACGGGAATCATAAAATCTGTTTAAATTCAATAAAATTTTGAAGAAACATTGACAGAACGATATGCTAATTGATGTCAACAACCGAACAATCGCCGTTCCGGAGGTCATAAAAGCTTCAGAGCCTCCCGAATGTTTCTTAAATCATCCGAATGCAAGGAGGCCAATCAAACAAAGGAATGAGATGTACAATCACTGAGAAGAAGAAAAAAAGAAAATACAGAAGAGAAGCTTTCAGAGTCTCTTCATATTTCTGTCATAAAAAGTTAAAAGATGGTTGATGAGGCTGTAAACTAATAAAACATTTTCTTCAAAACTTAATGATAAGCCTGGTTAAAAGCTTGATTCATCTGAATCTGTTGCGAAGCATCTTATTGGGTATCTTATGGTGGGTATGCGGGGTATGGGTGTGTGCGTGTGTAGGAACAGCACCTCATGCTACTCCGGGGACTAATATGCAAACGGCTTTATACAAAAACCATCAAAGTGTTGTCGTTAAAAGGTTATTTCGAAAGGCGAGAGTTGAACAAGAGATAAGAAAACAGTAAAATGTTCCTTTAGAAACTGAGTCAAAAAATGCAAAATATCATAATTGGCTGTTTTAATGGAACATAAAAGAGTCTATCGGAGGGGAGGAAGCAACATGATGAACATATCTCACACTACTAATATGTGTTCAAATATGGTTTGAGAGAGATAGAACGAAAAGAAAAAAAGCGGCGAAGAGAAGAAGACGATTTGAATCTCGAGAAATGAGGAACAGGCATGTGTATGGGTGTGTGTATGTGTGTGAGTGTATGTGAATGGAGGAGATGAAATATGGCAAAAAAATGGATATGGCCTTAAACAAAAACGGCACAAAAAAAAGAAGTTGTAGAAATAAATGTGAAAAAGCATTGATCACAGAGTAAGAAGACGATTCGAGAACACACTCACATACGTGATGAGATACAGGTTAGATGCTCAGAGCTAATACTATACGAATAGATAGTAAAGGTGAAATCCCCCCAAAAAATGACCATGTGATGAGAAGAAGAAACGAATATTTACTGGCTGTTTCTTCTCGGCTCTTTCATTGTCAAGATCTATCGAAACACTTCAGATATCACCGGAAACAGAAAAACGACAGTACGACGAGAGAAAACGACAATCAGTTGTAGAAGATTTTTGAAAATGAAGAAACAACTCAAAGATAATCAGAGACTGAGGGTGAAGAGAAAAGAGACTAAAAGATGAAAAAACGAGATGATGAAGAGAATGTCGTTAAGAGATGAGAATGTTAGAGTATCTTTCGAGGCTAGAAGTCATTGTCATCAGAAAGAGGACATCCGATGATCATAAAGCATAAACAAGCTGGACAATCGGCTAACTTTATAAATGATAATTCTACAGATGGGTATAAGAATGATAAATGGCTCATGCTGCTGCAAAGCTATTGAGAGCATTCTTGAGATAAAACAAAAAGAAAACAAGACAAGCATGTAAGTTGTCAGAAGGCGAACAAGTAAACACAAACAAGTATCGAAAGGGGGATGAGAGATATTTCAAAATATGCCAACAAATGAGAAAAAAACATCAAGAAAAAAAATATGGAAATCTTCCATTCAACTCAATTGCATTCGTCTAAGAAAGGATGGATGTCAAGGGTTAACCGAGGATTGAATTCAGATGGAAAAAGCCGAAGATCGTCTCTGACCACAGATGCTTCGATCCAGCTGACTGCGAAAAAAAGGCGGAAAAAGTTTGAAAAGAAGTTAAAGAACAGTCTTAGAAGGTAGCTAAATACACAACAGGGGTATAAATATATATTTCTTTCTTTCGTCCCTCTTTCACTCTTATGGAGCCCATAGATGACAGTTTCTGGATCAAGTCCCTCCCCCTTTTTACAGCCACCCACTGGGTCGGTTAAAGAAGAAGAAGATTAGAAAGAATGAGAACACGTAGAGGAACTATTCGAAAGAATATTAAAAACTGCAAGCAAAATGGCAATCATTGGATTAGTTAGGACAATCCTTGACGAAAAACTAAAAAAAGCAAAAAAAAAACGAAAAGAAAGACGACCGTTCTGTGTGAATGAAAGTACCAAAATGAAATCACGTCAACAAGTCACGTAAATCAATGAAATTGAAATGTATGGAGATGGAATAGCTTATAAACGAAATAAAAGAGCAATTACGAAAATGATCATGAAGGGAAAGATGATTTCATTGAAATTGTTGAATTTTGACAAGATTAAACTACACATGGTCATTTAGCAGATGGACCACACTCATGTAGAGTTGGCCGTTAATCAGATTTTTGTTTGAGAAATTTGCAAACAAAAGTTTAACGAAAGAGATGAGCAGCATAAATATCAAGAATTACAAGAAATAAAAAAGAAATTGAATACAGTTGAATGAATCTGATAAGAAGCTTAATGTCAAGTCTTAACGGGTGGTCATTTGAGAAATGGCGAAGAGGGAGAGAAAAAAGAAAAAAAAAGACCAACAAACTGAAAGATAATGATTAGATGGGGAGTTGTTTGGACAGAATATCACATTTTGAAAAAGTAGGGAAGAGGAGGGTTGTAGTGAGAAGAAAGAAAAACTTTTTGTTTCTTTTTTCTTGTGGTTCTCTCAATTCATGAATTACAAGATGAAGGAAATCAGAAGTGATGATGGATGAGAGCACTAGAGATGACCCTGAGAGAGCCGATGCGAACTCTGTTCGCTTTCACCTTTAACTCCTTTTACATTGCCCTACACTGACGGATATGGACATGTTGTTGTCAACAAATTGACGGATGAATTAGATGTCAAGACCGGCAAACCTTTATAACATAATAGTTAAGTAGGCATCTCAGTCGTTACGAGATGAGCATATCCATGAATAAATGATAAGCGATGAAAGAAAGCAATTAAGGTTTTTCATATGTATGAGAAGGCATTCTGAACTATAATTCACAGAAAGAGAATCAAAAGTCATGCTTATTCTGTAACATCCATATGTAGCCGATTTCCCATAGTTGACAAAGTACTTTAACTGTCTCACATCTCATACTCTATCATACTGTCTATAGGAGATTTCGACCATATGTGCCATGTGAGAAGATGGACGAATTTTCAAACGAAACTATCCAAATTTCATTTTAACTATACACAAACAGTGAGATATATTTCTTAAAAGCTTTCATATGAAAGCTATTGAATCGTCAGACATGAAATGACCTTAAACAGTCTAACTAATGACAATTGAGGAATGAAAAGAGTATGAATGGAAGGCAACAAATCACAAAAAACGGTCAAAACTATTCATCAACTGATTTCTAAATTAACAAAAATCTGACATGAGAATGTAGAAGAGATGCATTCTCTTTCTCCTACTTTATAAATGAATGAATGAGGGTATTCCTTATATTCTTTTATGATATTACACATGTTTTCTAGTAAGTTGAACATCTAACCAAAGAAAGAGAGAGAAAGAGAGAGAGACGAGGAGAGAGGAAGAGCATAAGAGGAGGAACAGGAAGAAATTGTTTTCATTATTGAAAATTCAAAAAAAAAAAAAGAAACGATGTCTTCTTTTGGATTTCGATGAAGAGAAAACAAAAAGCTGAATGACACTGTGTATTGTTAGAATTACCTTCCGAAGTGACAATACCCTTCGAACAACAACCGCTCTTTCTATCTTTCACAGTCAAAATGAGGAACTCAACGCTTCATTAACTTCACGGTATTTCCACGTGAATATTCTAATGTGATGAAGCTGAACTGATTGAAATGTGAGATGAGAGGAAAGTGTCAAAGAGTGAATGAAGCTTATGTAATAGTAAACATCAATTAACTATAATCAGATGATTAGAGATGTTTAAATTACATTTTCTTGGATAGTTTTCGAACGAACCAACTCAAATATTTGTTAGTTCGGGTATTGAAAACGACAATGTAGCATCTGAGAATGATAAGGATATGTCAATATTTGACAACATTTTTTAAAACTATTTAAGGCATGAAAAAACATAGAAAAAATACAAAAAAACCGGAGGGATATTGATTGATAGGTCATAATCAGTGAAGGGCAAATGAAATGAAATCCTTCGATTGAACGGAAATACTTCTTTGGTGTCGCAACTCCAAAGGTTTCTTTTGAAATGTTGACCTCGAAATCTTCAGGAATTGCTTCATCTCAAGGTCAGAAGAGTTATAAGTAAACAGTATAATCTACATATAACTCAATGAATAAGTCAGAAGCTACTCAAGTAAGACGATCGTGTCGAGAAATTTCATGAAACATGATGACATTACGGAAAATCATAAAAATAACAAAAAGTACAGAAAAAACAAGCAATTTTCATTGAAAATCTGATTGTTCGACAAAAGCAATGATCCGTGAGAGGAAGACATGCGAGATGCTAAAGAAACTTCAAAAAAATTCCAGTTCAAACGCTCACCTTTAGCATCGAGCATGGAATGACGTTATGAATATGGAAATGTGATGATGGATACTACTGTCTGCTGACAACAGTAAATATCCATTAACAACAAAATCTGTAAGAAGGCAGATGGGTTTTTATGGCTTCGCTTCTTTTGCCTTTCCCACTGCCTAAATGCTAAACAGAGAGAAGAGAGAGAGAGAGAGAGATAGAAACATAGAGAGGGGAAGAAGAGAAAGAGAGAGAGAGAGGTAATTGTGGGGGAGAAACAAGGAGGGAAAGAAGAAAAACTAAAAAACGAATAACTAAGAAGCAATTGAATGAATATGCATAATGAAATGAATGAACTTCTGATGATTTTCAAATATAAGTTTCATATTTCAGTAGCACGACGTCTTTCATCTCTTATCGTTCGAATGAAAGATGAAATAGCACAGTAACTCACAGCGATTGCTTCAACTCCTTCGTATGCTTGTTATAGCACTTAGTAAGAGAAGAATTCATTTTTGAACATTTCAAAGCATTGAATTCGTAGCTGCCTAACTGTCATCCTCGCATATCTTATAATTACAATATAATATAACATTTATCTTTATGGCTTTAAAGCAAATATACAGATGTCATCTGAATTCTACAAAGGCGCTACGTTAAGACTTGCGTGTTCCAAATCCTTTTAAGATTTCATAGAAAAGCTATTGACGATGGTATTATATAACTGACAGTTATATTACAGTGATAAACTAGATATGCTTGAAAGTATCAAAAAAACTTCACAAAATCAGGATATGCTAATGAGATTAGACATGAACTGTCATGTTGAATTGGCTACTCGAAGGAGTTCACAACATCGTACAATAGGGCATTCAGAGGGGATTTGTGATTAAAAAACAACCGCTCACTAGGTATGCAGAAGTAAGAATGATTTGAGAGAAGAGAGAAGAGTAACGAAAACTGTAATTTAGCATAAAATCAAATGGAACACAAGAAGAATCAAAATTGAAGAAGGGATTAAACAAACGAAAACGTTTTTTTATGAAACTTCAGAAGGATTCGAGTAGCGAACAAAGATTCGAAAAATTGCAATTGCAGTTCAAATTGAAATGTATGAAAGACAAAAAACAGTTACGACAGTCAAGAGTTGGAGTAAGGTGTGCGCAACTAGCTGGCAATCTGGGAAAACATAAGATCAACTAAGGTCTTGTTTGGCCTTCTGAGTATCATTTGCCACACACACACGAAGCTGACATATAGTCTTCTCAGCTTGAATGACCTATCCGTCTATTTTTCTGTTATGTATAAGGTATGAAGAAGGGATGGGCAAATGAAGTCGGATCGACAACCTCACGTTGGGGGTGACAACCACACCTTCCATAGGCCTTTGTTCTAATTCCGTCTTTTGAAGCTTGCCCTCTCTCTCAATTTCTCTCTCTCAATTTTCTACCTGCTCATACAGCGTATCCTTATATTCTATCTCTCTTATACTCATATAGGGATACATCATAAACTCCCTCTCCATATACTATCCTTTTTCGGCTTCTTGAAGCTTAGCACGCAAAGTTGGCAAACAAATCTAGAAACTGCTTGCCGCCTGACGCAGATTATAGGATTTACTTGTATGTATCTTTCTAAAGATACCTTTGACTATTAGCCTAACCTTCATATTATCATTGAGGCTTAATAAGAAAGGCGAAACTTTCCCATCAATTAAGACTTGACGTAATCTCAATAGAAACAATGAAACAACTAATGATCTAAGTACACAAAGTGCTTGTTGAGTCAAGTGTTCAAAGGCATTCGCAACTAATCTCAAAGCATTTAACTAAATTATCAGTCCAGTATATACTATATAATGATAAGTCCAGCATAAAATGCTTTTAGTCATAAAAAACATTTTACAAGTGGGGTAGACACAAGACAGCCGCTCCACACAGAAGCCGATAATATATTTTACAATTCGTTAATAATATGAGAAATATAAATAGAATGAATAATAAATTATAATAATCAAGATAATTATGTTTTAAATAATGGAATATGATGAATAAACAAATATATTTGCAAAAACAAATTCTAGTTAGGATGTTGTTGTGTTTTTTATCGATTACATTAAAGGACTAATCTGATAACTAAGTGATTTGAACTGCTTCTCATACTATATCCATTGCCTAACTCAGCCATCAATATTTGGCAACGAGTACAATAGCAGGAATGATCTAGCTTGTTTGATATGTATATCAGAACGTATGATTATTCGTTCTCTTGACATCATCGTTGTGCTCATCGGACGCGAGTGTGTCATAAACTTCTCGTTGATAAGCTACTGGATAAGGAAATGACAAACAAACAAAAAAAGTAACTGAACGACATGATCTATACGTAACTACATGACTAATCGAAAAACAACCGATCATGGCTCTGTAATGACGCAAATAAGAGTAGACCTTCACGTAAAAGCCCACGTACAATTTAGATCATTCACGTTCTCACGTAAGTGACGTAAAACGTGAAGAGAGGTAAATTCAAAAAGATATAACAAGTGCTTTTCTGTGTAAGAAGCCTTTAGACTATGAGTTGAATGATGTCCGAATAGGTGAAGCTATTGTACTTGGTGAGATAAGATGTAGACTGTAACCTTTTGTGGTCATCATTGAGTTCGCGCACTCTGCTCATTGAGCGGTCTATAGTTTGTCATTGTGTTCATCGCGCATTCTACTATGTGATACTTATAGTTTAATATCGAACTATATAAATTGGCTTAGTCGATTATGCTTCTTTAGAAGAGAGTATTTTGATTCCTCGAAACCATTGTCTGTTCATTTAAAGGTTAATGAATGAGAAGGTTTAGAAATAAATGTTGTTCCGTCTCATATGGTGAAATCTATTTTGAATCACAATTGACGACTTTACTCTTCATCAGAACATTTGTCTTAATGATGTCAGGAAGATGCCCGAAGGTGAAGAGCAGATGCGACATTTCGATATATACCACCCGTATCGTGATGCCAAATCATTATTTTCAGCAGATTTTTAGCCAAGGAGCCTCAAAGGTATAATGATTGACATCTGAATGGAAGAGGCGACAGACGATGGTTATCTGAAGCATCAGAAGCCATTCTTTCAACCCTCACAACCAAACCTCATTGTTATTTTCCGAAAGTGGTCATAAACGGGTAATGAACAATTCGAACAATTAGAATAGTGAAAACAATAAAAAAATTAATGATTATAAGAATGAGAGCTGAGCTCATTAAGCGTCTTTTTATAATTATTTTCTTCTTTTCATCTTTACACAAAGTATTAGAATAAGAAAGTTGTGAAATGGCGAGGAAAGACGGCTCTTTCTCAATATCATCTGACTGTATGACTATCATCCTTATAATCATCATTTTTGATCATCAATAAGCGATTATCGCAGTAAAGACGACAAAACACTGTTGACACTGTCCGTCCATGTGCCCAAGAGACAAATCAGATCATATCTGAGGCATTTACAATCACTGTTTTCTGAATTCAGGCCAAATACTGTCCAGCCATCTGGATCCGAAAGACTTGATATAGAAAGAGCAATTCTTCATGTGATTTACGTTGTAAGGCTCAGCCTATGCAACAAGGAGAGGGATGTAATGAACGTTGTAGTAACGTGTAACTTCATTTTTTAATTATTCCAGTTGAAGAAGAATTCTATTGAGTCCCCCAGCTTCTCAATGTTCGCATTTGGCATATATCGAATTAACATAATGACGTTCATTTAAAATTGAAAACAAACACCCATGACAATTGACAAAAAGTAACAAGAACAACGATCTGGGCTAATTGGGTGAGCACTCAAACCATAACCAAGTGGGCTATCACACCGAATTTAAAATGAGTCTGAAGAATTAAACATTAAAAAAAACTATCTGCTCTTTATTCTTCTTGGCAAATTGAAAATCGCTATCATGAGTTTTCGGAAAGTAGAATTAGACCCTGGAAGTAAGATTTTGAGTGACGAAAGGTTTGTTCAACTAACTTCTTGATAACTTGGACGACATCCTCATCATTAAGTACGTGATCCTTTCCGACTCTTTGAGGATTATGCTTGGCCGATGACCCCCAGACAAGAGCGCTGAAATTGCAATTTCGAATGTTACATGAAGAGTCCATTCTTACTTCTTGAAATCTTTCTGAAGCGACTTGTGAATCTTCATGCAGAGATCATCTACATTGTTTTTATCAGCATTCAAAACAATGGGGGTAGAATAATCTGGTAGCTGGCCCTTGGGTTTAGTGTAGCTGAAAAGGCGAAGTAATAAGAATTTCGAGAAACCCCCAGACAGCGGAATGATGGCAAAATCCCCACTCATCACAAACATAAATCCCAAAGCACGAAAACTATCTTTCCCCCCTTACTCTCTCTTTTCTCGCCTCAAATGTCTCTAAAAACCCTGTAAATATATGATTTTCTGTTTAATCCTTGCACACATTCACTGAAGATGTAGGAACCATTGTATCCATGAATACACTGAAGAAATCCTAACAAATACTTGAGGATTTCAGGTTCGGACCATCATAAAGGTCACACTTGTGACCATGCACAAACAAAGGACCTAAGTCGTGTTTATTGTGTTTACGCATTTGGCGTGTAAATGAGCCAAGGATGTCCATATAAGGACATTCCGATTGAGACGATAATGCCATCATTCCAAATGAATAGCAGCCAATTAAGAAACGATTGAAACGCTCACAAAACCTACATCCGGATAAGGTTCAAATACAGCCAGATCTTCTCAAGCAAGTCGTCGAAATTCCATTTATGATGAGCTGAGATGGGTACACAATGAGGAATTCTGTAAATGATATCTAGCTCTTCGACAGAGATTTGATCGATCTGGAAAAGGAAGTAAGATGTAAGCTTTGGAAATCTTTTTTCGAACCTTGTTGAGTACATACAAACAAGGAATGTACACACGATTTCCTTCAATGGCATCAATCAAATCTTCAGAAGTAGCATCATATCTAAACGTTACAATTCGATTTGTTTCGAATGCTGTTTCTCACCTCAGAGTGATGTCAGCATTATGAATCCTGTATTCAGCGAGAATACTTTTGACTAAGTCTAAATCCAGCTCAGTCTGAGGAACCTACAAATACTCAGAATGAGAACTCCAAACAAAGATTTTCATAATCCCAACAGCACGCACGTAAGAAGGAAGAACTAAAATTTTCATTTTTCATTGTTTTTCGAGGGTGAATGGTTGATTTCCGCTGGGCGCAAACAACAACAACAGGAAAATGAAAGAAACATAGGAAGACAATTCCATGTTTCAAGTTTTTAAAAGCCTTTTCCAGACGCTTTTATGTCATAATTATGCCGTAGATGAAAAGAATCTCCTAATTTCTGAAGTGGATTCCATGACAATGGTTTGACAGCTTTCTGCGCATTCCTCTTATGTTTTCATTTTGAAAGAAGAAAATGAAGATCGATAGGTGCCTCCAGGGAGTTCAGTCGACTCCCTACAACGACATTTCAACCAAGAAAAGCATCGTCATCTTCTTCCATATTACCTCGCTTATGAGATAAAACTTGACAAGCAAAATCATCACACAAACAAAACTCGCAAACCCACAAATCCAATTTACATCCTGACTACTTGACTTTTGCGCTGAGAGTACCTAACCTTTACAAGGCAGTCACTTTTTCCTGGACAACTGGCACTGAATAAATCCAGATGCCGGATACTAATCTCGAATGAGCGACGTATTGTGGAATAAGTGAAAAACGAGAAGCAAAAAGATACATGGGAAGAAAAGATATCTCAGAAAAAAAACCAGACTTATAAACAGAGAGTTTCCAAACAAATTCTCCCACAACTGTGATTTCCTCGAACTATTCCTGCTTTCTCGTTACGCTCACTACATCCCTCTATCATCAAAACCGCGTTACATTCAACACCCATGAAAACCGAAAACTAAACTCGCTCAGAGTATCTGGTAGATAAACTAACGATCATCGAGTTGTAATGGGTAATCCTCCTAAAACTTCCATCCCAAATCCCTTATGCGACGTAATCAGGTGGAAAATTCAACAGTGGCTCTTCTGTTTTAACAAACTAGAAAACGCAAACGCATATTTAGACGTCAAAAAGACGATCGATCTCTTTTAAGCGAATTACATGAGAGCTTGGCTACTTTCCAGAGTCCTCAGCCTATTCTTTTACTTCGTTCTTCTCTTCTCAAACTTCAAAGCAAGCCCATAACGCTCGGCTCAAAAACTCATCCGGTGTGCAAGTGGAGGAGAACAATAATCACAAAACGAAAAAAGACTGGAAAGCCTTAAAGAACGCGGAAAAGAACATACCAGAGTTGTTAGATTAATGCCACCCTTCTCCTTTTTGCGAAAACCAATATTTGGTGGTTGTTTGTTGAGACGGATTCCGAAGCCTTCCAACTCGTATTCCAATAGTTTCTTATGTTGTAACGGCTTCATAACGTCCAATACCATAAGGATCAAGGAGCATGTTCGAGCGACTGAAAAAAACGAAAGCTTATTGTATGGTTTTGACTTCTTTGTCAACAAGAGCCAAGGCTTATGCATTGCTTCTTTCCCATCTTTTTTTTTCAAGAACGATACCATCTTTCTCAAGTAATGAATTGAATTAATCAAAACCCAAACGACCAATCATGGAAGTAAAACCAATGAAACGAAAGATAGCAAGCAAACAATAGAAGCGAGAGATTTTCACGAATTTTGCCTTTCGTAGGCATTACCCTTTGGCATCACCATGACAACATGAAAGAATAAAATAAGAAAAACAAGAGCTCGGCTTATCTTAAGCTATTTGTAAGTAGAGCCATTTGAACCTTGCAAAGAATGCAAAAAAATCTTGTGGAACCCTCAGCTTTTCAACTGCACTTGCCGAACAATTGAAGAGCAGCGAAAAAAGAGAAGAGAGAAAGAGATTGAATCACTTATAACCTCGTGTGACCTTTAGCTGCCCTCCAAAATTAAGAAAAGTTGATTTTCGCATTTTGAAATCACTATGAAAGTGATACCCTTCCTGCTCATTCCATGTGAAACAAAATACACATTTTGAGAAGGGAAAGCGTAGTGAAAGACATGCAACAGATGTCTATCTTTCTCGAAAAAACTCAAGAAAAAGCGATAATAACTTAGCACATAACGAAAATCTGACTCATAATGAAGCCAAATGAGAAGATTTTATTTCTTCGAGCATCTCCCCTCATCCATGCTTTATTCCCCTCGTCCTTCCCTCTCTTCATCGTTCATTCTTAATTTTTATTTCGATGAATCAATCTCTTTCCGAATACCCCTCGTTTGAAAGCCATGAGAAACTTTTTATGAGGAGTTTTAAAACTACAAAAAAACATTTGAAGATAATGAGAATATGTTCGATAATAAGAAGAATATGCGACTCCTTGTTCACCCAAATTTGGCCTATAGTGCTAATTAAGTTTTTTTTCTTCGAAATTCCAAAACGGCGATGCAAAAGCTTTGGTGGAAGACGTTACACCACAACGAAGCTATTGAAGAAAACAAAAAGTTGGCATACTCTGCTTTTTATATCTCTTGTTCTTCGCCCTCACAAACAAAAACTAAAACGGGTCGATTTCATGAGCATCTCTCAAACTACATGTGAATCATGATAAAGTGCAAGCAAAATCTCTCGCGTTGCTCTTCTCTGCAAGCTTATATCTCTTTATATTTCTTTCAAAAATCACTTCTCATTACACTTGCTTCCCAAACTCTCCTTTCCTTATCCAGGAACTAAGACATTACATATGCTGAAGCAAGCAAGTGAAAAGCATGCCAACAACTAGAGAGCCGTAATAATTTGCTTTGACTTGACAATAGAAAAAGCTGAACATACCTGCGATAACCTGTTTACCACGACCTTTACCATCCTTGGCTCCTTCGATAATACCAGGCAAATCGAGCAGTTGGATCTTAGCTCCCTAAAAGAGAAGTTTCCTTGTATGCATTGAAATGAGATACCAAAACATGGGCTATATATGGCAAATGAAAGAAGAAACATATGCAAACCTTATATCGAATGACACCAGGCACTGTCGTTAAAGTTGTGAATTCGTAAGCAGCAACTTCAGAATAAACACCGGCAAGATTAGATAACAACGTGGATTTTCCAACGGATGGAAAACCTGAAAGAAAGGAAATTAAATATATCCAACTGAAATTGCGGATGTGAGAAGAGATACGAGCTTCAACACATAATTTACCCCGTTCTCAAATACTTATTACCCTCATAAACATCCAACGAATCATATTAACGACTTCATTTATGACAAAATCCTCAAGGTATTCTGGCGTTTGGGTTCTTTTTAGACAAAATCATCCACTTCCCGTTTTTTCTTTACTTTAACGTTTATAAATCTCTTCCTATAAGTCTAACAATGCCTCTTTCAACTGGAGACCCAAAACTTTTCTTAAGCTGACTGCCCACGTCGCCATCACCTCAAAAGGATACTAGTTGGAACTGACAAATCGCGACATACAATCTGTCCGATGGAGCCGGAATAAATCATTCTAAGTTTCCAAAATAACCGAAATCCTGAACTGATTCACACAAAGAAGAAACGATCAAGCGCGAGAGAAGACAGCGAGTTTTCATATTGTTATCGCGTCAAGTTTCTCCTTCCTCCAACTTTTCTCTTTCTTTCTTTCTTCGTCTTTTTCATATTCTTTCTATCTCTATCTTTCCCTTCGTGACTGGGCAGAGAGCAGCAGCAGCAGTAGCAGCAGCTCTAGCCCACAAGCCTTGCTAGTAGTAGACCACAGCAGAAGCGAGTAATAAGCAGGCGAGCGCGGCTTCAACCAAAGGGGCGGAGTCATCTACACCACGGCCACGCCAGTCAGCCAAGCCTCAGCCCGTTTCTCCTCCTCTCCCTTCTGCAATTTTCTATCTGCGCCATGCCCACATAGACATGACCTCCATTTTTTCTTTTAAATCTCCCAGAAATATTAAATCACTTCTTAGTCTTCTGGATTTGAGGATAATGGAGCTGTTTATTTTATCAATACTCATATTTGCAACCGAAGGTTCGGTTATACCTAACCCAGAAACAACATCAGTTCGTCCTATGATTTGTAACAATGATACGAACTTCCAATGTGTCTGTGGTCCTGAACCTCCCATATCTAAAGAACCTATTTTATGTGAATATTTCATTCAAGTAAGTCGTTTAATCTCTTTGCTAGAAATCGAAACTCTCTATCTCTCGCTTCTTTTATCAATGCAGAGCATGGCTTAAATCTGTCTACGTAAGAAGCAATGCTTGCACCTGATAATTTTTGGCGCAATAGCGAACCCCTAGTTGGGTGCATTCTGTTAGTCAGAGAGTCGAAAGTCTGTCTTTTAGTCGTTTTTTTCTCGAAAAAAAGGAAAAGACATTGATCTTCGGGTCGAGCCTCTAGCCTATTCTTCTCTTTTCTTTCCTACTGCATAGATACAAACAAAACAATCGCAATTACTTAACACTCCATTGAAACCTACGTTTTATTACAAGTTAGAAGAATGTGAAGCTGATTATTTTTGAAGCAGATCCTTTATCAACATACTATAGCAATTTTCGTAATTTCTGACGCGCTGCAAAGCGACAGCTCGAAAGATCTGTCAACTCTTTAACTAAGTAAAGAATAAAAAAGTCAACTAATTCTTTGATATCATATGTCTTTTGCTAACTTCGCCAAAAAAAAACATTGGAATTTGGCATAAGGCATAGAGAAAAAAGAAAGAAGAACATGTTTAACGAGTAAGTATTGATTGTCGAGCAAACTGGCGTTTTCCGCGAGCTTTGAGAAAAAGGCTTCATCCCCGAAGCTCAACAACCACATTATCGTTCCAGGTCACAACATTAGCCACCTGATTAATTAATCTCTCCTTTTCCGTCGACTTATCCCGACTAAACAGTTGTACTACACAAATTCTACTCAATTTAACGCAACTGACTTATTTCCCATTCCTCAACAAACATAGAGGGGGGAAACGAGAGAGAAGAAGAGAAAAAAAAAGAGGCGAAAGGAGATAAATAGTTTAAGAATTGATTTAAAAACTTGATAAAACAAAGGTCATTAAAAGAAATCAGCTACAAGTTTCATGAACATATGTTTGTGTAGAAAAGCTGCTCAAAGTACTAAATATCAAATGAGCCAAAATATTGAGTTTTGCATAAACAAATAAATCTTTCCTTTTTTTTCAGTCGAGAGAACTGCCTGTTATTGATATGAGGGCTAGAGATTTAAATCTTGAGGCTCATCTACATACCAATGAAAATTACGAAACTTATTTCAAACGAAGGATTGCTCAAATAGTATCCGCTTACTGCGAACGACAAGTAAATGAATGTCCAGGAGTCACACTATACGTGCCCAAGGTAAGTGTTTTCTATTTCCGTTTGACAATAATCAACGCCAACCCTATAACATTTGCATGCGCATCAAATAAACCCAAGTTAGAAGTTATACATTTCCTTCCGAGTTATGTTTTGTGTGAAGCTTTCGCTTTGAATTTAAAGCAGGGACATTTTGCTTTGTAGGGCGGGGACCCGCGCTTAGAAGATGATAAATCTGTTCTCTATGCTGCTGATGAGAATGAACCTCCTCTAACACAGGAAAACGTCGTCATCCTCAAAGTTGAGAAGGAGCCTGGCAACATTACTAGAATTCAATTCGTTATCACGCGTTCTCAGCTGGTGGAATCTTTAGCAGACAGCCAAATCATTGATCCTATGAAGGTTAGCTGCGCGCTGAGAGCAATTACAACATCCAACTTTCCAGGTCAAAGTGATACTTGGAAGTCAGGCGGTGCCTCTTTCACGTATTCTAGGTGGTATCAAGTTAGAAAGTGTCAGAGTAACACGTATGAAGAGAACTCTACGTCCTGAAGACACAGACAACAAAAAGTTAAAAGTGATGCTTCTTATTTTCGGTCTTTTCTTCGGAGTTTGCTACATCATCGGTGCTATTCGCATATACAGGTGAATATTTAGTTTGCGAACCGTTTAGTTGCATGCATTACTCGATTTGTGGTTTTCTTATTTACCCTTGTGTTGTGTTTGAGATGTTGTCGCATGCGTTCAGAACGATGGACTAGAGGACACATAGATAGGAAGTCCATAGTGTTAATGGAATGTGAAGGTGTGCCGTGCTTAGACCAATAACCTTATGAGATATTGCAACATCATTTTACGTTACAGGGACTGCAAGAAACGTAGAAAACAACGAAAAGATGAGGAGGGTCTCGCAGCAACGACCACTCTACCCAACTATGGAACGCTCAATAAAGATGAATCAAAGCCAGATCGAAATGGATCAATCACAATAGCACCTCCCATACGTGAACAAGGACAATATACTCTAATAGATGAAACCGACTCATATCAAAACGCTGAACCAAAAATTCTGACCGAGCGCCAAATGAAATTCATGTTCATGTGCGATCCATCACAACTGCCCAGAGAACCGACGTTCAACTCACAAGCTGATCTAGAAAACACAGAAAACAATAAACCCATTAGCAGTAGCAAGCTTCAACAGCAACAGGCACACCCTATCACTCCCGCGTTTCCTTTGAGAAAAGAATTAATCATCGAGGAGTCCAGAGAAACTGTTCCGGCAGTAGTAGTTGTTTCATCCGCTTCGATACATGAGGATCAAATCAAACTACCCAGCTTAGATGATATAAATAATCCAGAGTCTGGTAAACTTTTACTGGGAAGTGAGAGTCCTCCGCTCGAAAGACCACAATCGAGACGTGGCAGCAGAGTCGATGAAGAAGAAATAGATCTCACAGAAATAGGAGTATCAAGTGCTCCTATATTTACTGATCTTGTTATTCCCGATAGTATAAAAGTGAGTTTTAACAAATACAATTCGAAACTAAATATGCTTTTTTTAGGCGGAAGAAACACCTTTATCACCTGAGCATTGGTCTAGCAGCGAAGGAGAAGCTGAGTTATACTATAAGATGAGCGACGAGGAAGAGATTCAAGGAGATAAATGGGCATCGCATTCAAATCGTAAGATTTCATATGAAAGAAATCGAAAACTCAACTTATTTAGACGAATCAGATGAAGAAAACGATAAAGAAGAAGTTCAAGCAGAGCATGAAGAGGGTGATAACTTTGTATACGAAAGACTGAGAGAAGAAGCTTCGCCCGTACCACCACCTCACGACACCAAAGAAAAGGATCATCAAATATCGAGCTACTGAATTCTTTCTCAAATCTAGTTCAAGTAGGGAATCGTTAGCCTATACTACAGGGACCAGTTAACCAACCATACCGCTCAATCATCTATTTTCAAATCCATGGGTACATCTGAGTATTTAAGACTAGCTATATTAAATTAAAGATATATATATATATATATTCATAAATTACATATTTCTATTTGTACACTACATTATGTATCAAACAAAGCCCCTTCATAACCGAAATTTGATTATATATATCATGATATACTTCACACTTCCCATTGTCTACAAAAATGTGATACTAAATAGCTTTGTTACGTGCCTAAAACTGTAGAGAAGAGCTTGTAAACTGCAAATATGATAGATCATGAACATAAATCTTGAATGACGAAAGCTTTCTCCGCTATTTCAGTAACGAAAACATTCAATTGTAAAATATGCAACAAATATATCCAAAACATGGACATAATCGTTCATACATTTGAAAATGAGAGCAGCTTGGCTACGTGAATTCAATACAACAAACTAAATTTTTTAGTTTTTTTGTGTATTCTCTCAACACAGAACAATATAGAGGGAACAGCTCGATTAAACAATTAATCAATCTGGAAGCTTTACCACTCGTACAAAGCGAAGGAAGCTCTAATTAACACTAATCGCAGAAGAACGCAAGCAAGTCCATGCCAATAAACAAAAGAGGAAAAAATTCCCGTCTTTTTTTGTTATTTAACTAATAAATGTATAGTCCAGATATCAAAACTGGCTTACCTACAAATCCAATACGAGCATCTCCAGTTTTGGCTACATCGAATCCTTCACCAGCTCCACCTCCACCTCCCTTTGGGGTGATGAGTTCTCTTCTGAGCTTGGCAAGTTTGGCTTTCAAAATACCCAAGTGAGCATTAGTAGCCTTGTTTTTTTGAGTACGGGCCATCTGAACATGAGAGTCCCAAAATGTAAGCACTTTGATATCAAACCTCATTTTCAATATCAGCGATTTTCTGTAGGATCGACATCTTGAATGATGTTTGAACTCAGCAAGCTGAAAAAAAGAAAAATTTTCCGTATGTAGACAGGACAACTCACGTTTTAAACAAAACGACCCGGACAAATGGAAAAGAAACTCTGAAAGACAACCGTATTAAACACAGTTAAAATGAAAATGGTTCGAAACCGACGCAGCCACACGTCAATAAGATAATTCGAAAAAAAAAAGCCGATACCGATTACGACTTCAGCGGTCACGTAATATTCTAATTAATGAAAACTTCGACAATTTTTCTGTTTCGGTTCGTCAGTTCTCAAAAATTAGCAGCGGAGCACATTTTCGCATTGGAGCAGATATATCGCAGAATAGGGAAATTACCTTCCAAACAAAAAAAAAACTTCACGGTTGTGAACATTTACTGTACATTAAGCCCGTTACAACATAGGTATAAACTTCTATACAAACTCTTGTTAACAAGTATTAAACAATCTTAAAAAATCGTTCTAAAAACATGTGATAACACGGAAGAACATATGAAAAAAACATTATATATTAAAAATTTAGATCTGAGCATCAACAGAAGTGGCTCCAAGCCCAGCTTCATGATCACCAAGACCAGAATCACAACGGGGGGAAATTGTGGTTCCTTCAACGGTACGTCTGGCACTAGCTTCCTCAGCTACGTCCTATGCGATCAGACCATTAGAGACTTAATACCTCGCAGTCATACCTTCTTGTTTTTCTTGCTGAAAGATCTTGGTCTTTGAGTACGACGGGTACCACGAGATTCATCACTTCGTTCTTGATTTTCTCCACGACCACCATCAGTTTTTCTGCGACGGGCTTCATAATAAGATTAGATATTACGATTGATCTTCTAGCTCCTACCAGATCCATCCTTGGCTTCTGGGTTTTCAACATTTTCCTTGTTCTCATTTTTACGGTTGTTGAATCGGCTTCCAAGAAGGATACGGAAAGCTCTTAAATATAAGTAATAATTGAATTTTTTGATATTGAACATACTTAGCTCCCTTAACAGCAGTTCTTTCTGGTCCAGAAACATTAGCTGCCTCTAATCCATTCTTGCCTTCGACAATATCGAACTCAACTTCCTCACCATCAGCTAATGTTCTCAAGAACAATTTCTCAATACGAGAAACAGCGATAGCGCTCTGAACTACAGTATTAATCAATTGGAGAACTAAGAGCTACCTGGTGAACGAAGATATCTCCTTCAATATCGGATCGGGCGATGAAACCATAGTGTCCAAGGATCGAGTACCATTTAACAGTTCCCTTAACTCCAGTTTCGATAACTTTCTTCGTGGCTTGAATCTCTTCCCATTGCTTACGAAGTTCTTCATCGGTCAAACGAATCTAAGACTAGAATTTTTGAGATCTCAACTAAGTTTATCTTACATGGCGGCCTTTCTTGGCTGGCTTAACGTCAGTGGCAACGTTTCCGTCAACCGCGGTCTTCTCATCGACGATCTTCATTGCGTTAAGTTTAACATCGAGAGCTTCCTCTCCTACTTCGATCGCATCGGTCGACATTATGGCGGGTTAAGCACCAAATATATAGTACACTGAAAGTTTATAGATAATCAATTACATCAATTGTTAGAAGGCACATGGTTGCAATCATCCCAACAACACTACCTAAATCAAAGAAACTTGGTCTCTAAGTTCCCTGATCCAATTCAAGAGGGCAACGTTCCCGAATTTTACCGTACCTGTAGATCACAAACACCTGCACATCTTTTAACTTGAATATTGGATTAATGCCAGGATTTCATTGTTCTTTGAAGATTGCTAGTAGGTGGTTGCGTTTGGGTGCTCAGGTAAATTCGTTCATTTGCATATGCAAATGTGTTCTTCGGATATTGTTTTCAATAACAGTTAGTAGATACGAGAAAATATCATTTTAGAACCTTTGTTAATCCTCATCATTCGATAAGTTCTGAATGCTGAAAGTGTCTAATCAGATCTATTTTTTAGCCATGAAGGTCACGTCTTGACCTTAAACCACAATACGCAATATGTCTTAGTAGGCGGAGCTTAAGCTATATATGGCTAAAAGCTGCTCCACGGCTAGTCTCGCGTTCGCCTACTTTAGCTTCAACTGAATTGCTTATATTATCCAAATGCTTTAATTATTGTGCTATGATTCATATATAGAATGGAAAAATTGAAGAAAAGTATTTCGAAAACCATCCAGGATTTGGGTGAATCCCTAAATTCCAATGATGATGATGTTCGGGTAAGTTTTATTGAAAAGTTTTGGAGAAAATTTTGATTTTGAGATGGATGATATGTCTGATTATATTCTAAGTCCTTATGTTGGCTCTAACTCTATGGACGGATCTGTTACACACATTATTCAAAAAAAAGTTTCATCAAAAACTCTGGAAAAATTCAGGAAATACTTTTAGAAGACCAACATTGTACGCTCTGATGTAGCTAGTGACCAAGAAGTTATGGATAGTATTGATGCAGCTTATTTCATTGAAGACGATTTCGATGCTATTGATTATGAGCTGAAGGTGCTCTCTCCTCAATGCCATGCCAAATGTACTCATTTCAGAAGCAATTCGATTGTGAAGTGTATTTAGAAGACTTAGACCGTGAACGTATGAGGCTGAAACATCAGCTGCAAGTAGTTTCCAAAAGAATCTCCATACTTATAATGGAAAAGGTGCTGACTTCATTATATTTAAAAATAGAACATCGTTTCTTAGTCACCATCATATAACAGACAATTGAGCGAAATTGACAATATCAGAACTGACCTGTCCGTTCTGATTGGAGATGTGTCAACCATACGAAGGTTTCTTATTTTGTGCCGAGTTCTCTCAACATCTTACTTTAGTGAATTAGCACTGGAGAAGCGTAGAAGTAAAACTTGCTTAGCAATTCTAGCTAACGAGAAGAAGAAAAGACTTCTACGTAGACTCTTGTTCACTCTACAAACAATCAAAACATTGCATGAAACGGAGTACCAAATCAAAGAAGCTATAGAGGTCCCATCTTAAGGAAGCATATAACTCACTTTCAACATTATAGGATGGGCATTTCCCATTAGCTATACGCATATGCATTGAGGCGAAGGAAGCTGCTACAACTTACAAGTATTTCAGTAGCATTAGGTTCGAATAGCTCAGAATTTAAACTTAATCATTACAAATCTCAGTGACCTGATGGCTAAACTAGCTGACACCACAAACCTTATTGAAAAGGAACTTGACAAAGCACTTTCGAGCTTAACTGTCGTTTTTGATATGGATAAGTATACGAACGTGCATTCAGCTTATGCAATGCTGAACAAAACAGAGGTTTATCAAAATAATAGATTCTAAGCAAAGTATTTATAGTATGCTTGCCGTGCACTTGTGAAAAGCTTTGTGACGACCATCGAACGTACTTGTAGGAGTATGATCACTGAAAAAATAACTACATTAGTTGATTTAACTGAACATACATTTGAAGATTTATGTGAAGTAAGCATGAACATACTCTCAGTTAAACAATTTTCTATTCAGCTCTTACCTGTGAGTAGTGTCGAAGCGACGATTCGCGAGTTATGCTTCGTATTATGCAAGATCTTAACGACATATCATTATATTCTTAGGTATCATTCTGAGGAATCGATAGAAGATAATATCGAAGGTATAATCAGTAGTAAGCAGTTAAAAGAATATTTTTTCTTGATTAAGAAGAAGAATGTTACAAGATTCTCAAAGATTCCTTAAGTGCTGTATTTCGCTCTGCGCTCAACTCCTTTGATACTCTTCTATCTACTTTGGACTTTTCAACTTTTAAGTTTGATAGTGTTCTCTATGTTGTTGATCTCTCTAACAGGTGAGTATCTAGAAACTGATTCGTAATCATGATTCTTAGGTTCCGTGCATTCGGGAAGAAATACTTTCTGGATAACTCTGATGAATTAGCTGTTACATTACAACGTCAAACCTTGTATTACTTTAAAAGGTTTGAGAGCTGAAAATAGCACATAGACTCTATCTCTCTATCTATTCAGATACCATAGCGAACGTATTGAAGAGCTCAAAATGTTTCTGGAAAACGAATGCTTCACTCTCTGTCCGATTCCTAATCAGTTCACTATATTCGATCTTCAAGTAACTAACATGAAAAACTGCGAAACATTTGTTCTTTCTAGGACTTCCAATTTTTGAAAGAAAATCGTCAAGCATCTAGTAATTCAAATTGCGATGTGGATGATAACAAAAAAGACTTAACTCTAATACCCACAGATTTTATTAATCCGTTTGGGAAAGAAGAAGTGAAGGTGTGATCTCTAATTTTCACGGAGCTAATGAACTTTTTCAGTCAAGAACTGCTTCAGTGGTTTCCGGTCCCTCAATGGATACCGATGATTTCTCTAAAGAGGATTTGTAAGATTACGACTAATAGCTTTTTTTCAACACCTTCTTCAGAGTTGACGAACCAGAAGACGCATCGATCAACCTCTGCAATACAGCTTTGAACTTATTGCGATTTTTCGGTATGATTTTCCTAGTTGACCACCTTATTAATTGGCAATTTAGGACGATATATCCGAATGACTTCTTTGTTACCTTCTATTTCCCAATATTCGCTCCCAGCTGTCACTCAACTGTTCGAGTTCTTCTTGTATTCTGTAAGTAGCTCCCTGTGCTCTGTTTTCATTTGTTTTTTCAAGATTTCGACGTTCTTTGGGAATGATGGTTCCCATATTTGCGAAGTACCTGCCCAATTGACTACTGTATTATCTATCATCAAGGACCGCTTAATAGACAAGGATTACGGAGAAAATGAGGGGGTTTGTAGTTTCCCATTAGAATTTTCGAAATCCGTCTTATATATAGATCATTCTCACTTCCCCTCAACTAAGCTCAATGATCAGTTCATCGTCGGAAAACTTATACGCTGCTGCTGAGAGGATTGTAGCTATAGACTCTGTGTAAGCAACAGAATACGCTATATGAAACATGTTTCCATTAAACAGAGAATTCGTGGCAAGACAGTTGGATCTGGTGCGCCCAGTTATTGAAGGACTTGTGAGCCAGGAGGAGTCAGAATTAGCTAAAATACTTGAAATGTTTTATGCTCAGGTTAGAATGGAAAAAAACGCTGCTCATCCTTCAACTTACAACTTTAGGTTATATCGGTAGCGCCTCTAACTAGGAAACTTATAGTAGATAACTTAGCCAGCAAAGCCCTCGATTTTTCTTCGCTTACGAAACAAATATCATCACAAAAATGGGACATCAATGATTTGAGAAGTCAGCACAGTCCGTATATTGACTTCTTGCTTTTGGTGATAGTGGTGATTAGACCGCAAGTGTAACAATGTCTTTCAGGAGTTTGAAAATTTCGATCGTAAAGTTAGAAGCATGAACAAAGAGTTGCATCTTTCAAAGGAAATACGTGACTACTTATGGACTAGAACTATCTATTATAGCTTCAAAGCAATAGTCCAAGGGTATGCATCAAGAACTAAAATCGGTGAAATGTGATATGTTACAGCTTTTGCGAGTCAGGAAAATGCAGCACTGAGGGAAGAGCACTAATGCAACTCGATTTCCAGCATTTGCTGATTAAGGTCATTTTTCTGTTGAATGTCTTATCGAAAATCTAAACTTATAGTTAGAACTGGTTTCGTATATCAAACCTATCCCGCATACCGAGTACGTAGATGGTTATATTAAAGCCTTCTATCTTCCTGAGAGCGGATTAGAACAGTGGATTAGCCAACACAAGGTAAACTTGCTCTCAAAGTGCATAAGACAGTGATTTCAGGAGTACACGTCTAAACAGATCATCTCTCTTCTTGGTGTGACATCCCATGTATCTAAAAAAGCTAAATCTCGCATAATAACAGCTCTAAACGAGTAAGAGTAACGAGGCAACGCACAGATCGGTCGCATTCTACTTATAACCTAACTACTATCATCTCCTAAGGATGGGTAAAAATGTCTTTCACGTCGCATTTTTGTAAATACGATTTATTTATAAACATAAGATAAGCATCGGGACTTTGTAGTCACAATAGAGATCAATAATAGTAAGACCAGAGGGTGGGTGGACTAAAATAGACTAGTAATATTTAGTTTGCGCTAGAGTTTGTGTACAAGCTGATCACGGAATGCAAATTTCATGGTAGATCATAAGAATAATCAGCCTTATTATGCATAATAAGTTTGTCATCGACGAAATAGAAGCTGTCAGAGCGCGTGCAGCATGGATTTTCAATCATTTCTTGCACTGAAACGCAGTTGAGCCTATTAAAAATTTTTATTGAAAACAAACCTAGTTGAGGGTTGAGTTGCGGGAAGTCATAGATATGTTCGCAAGAATTACGAGAGTTTGGAATGCAAAAACCAAATTCGAAATCAAAACTTTTCAATAGCCGGTCCTTCAAACCATAAATTATAAGAATATAAGTTGGATAAAGTGTACCTTGAAAAAGTGTCGCTCAATCATTCGGAATTTTGATACGGGCTTCGAGCCCACCGTGAACTCAACAGTCGCACCAACATGTTTCAGATGCAAAAACTCGGAAGTGAACCGATAACGGACGAATCGATCTGTCGACGGCTTCTCTCCAATTTCCTCTGCGAAAAAACGAAAGTTACACATAAATTTCAAACCAATTATACCTGGGGGTTTTCTTATTTCGAAGAGAACTTGCTCAGTATCTAAATCTCGAATCTTGAAGAATGTGAACTCGATGTCGTAAACGTTAGCAGAGAGAGGGCATAAGAAATCTATAAACAAAGAAATTCGATTTAAGGAAACGTTATAACTCTTCAACCTTCAGTTGGCCCTTGCAGCCGCAAAACATCTTCCGGTGATATGCTTTCTTTCGCTAAAAGTTCTTCTTCAGTAATTGGAGGAAGAATACGTTGTTCGTTTTTCATTCTGTAAAAAAATGTTTAAAACAAGAAAGCGGGAAACTAAGAAAATTGAGACATGGAAACTAACCCATTAACAGTTGCAGTCATCTTTTAACTACTGAATACGCGGATGCTCTGAGCAATCAATATGCAATCGAGAAGGCCCACAAGAACGGACACTGAATTCGGAACATTTGTCATAAAATAATGTGAGAAATGGAACAGCATGAATGAAAGAAATATATCAAAGACATATATATAAGAACGTGAAAATCTGGAAGAACGCCCAACTAATCTCGCGTGATTCGGCCAGAAAGCCAGCCCGTTACCATGGACAACGAGTAAGGCAGCCAATAAGAAGTCGTGCAGCTCTTGACTAAAGCGTTTCCAGCTCTCAATGCTACTCTGGTCTATCAATTCTCATGACACGATTAAGCTGGGCGGATGAATTCCTATGAAATGTGAATTAGAGACATAAAAACGTCATTAATTAGGGAAGTGAACTTTCAGTGAAGGAAGTGAGATGAAATAAAAACAGAAATAAGCATAAGTATGTGGTTGTTAACCATTTAAAAAGTAATTATAATTAAACGAATAAACCCTTTTTTGAAAAGATCTGAAGATATAGCACATTCAAGGCATTTCATATGATACAAGTGATAAAGTGAAAGGTTAAAACGAAAGATATTAAATTTCACAGGCTATAAAGCAAGTACTTATCGCAATTTGCGGAAATCAACTTATTAATGCGTATATACATTGTAAAATGATAAAAAATAATCAAATTTTCAGGCTCCTTTGTTAATAGTATGAGGCGAACACGAAACTGAGACAACCCATAGAGATATGGGAGCCGTGCCTCAGAGGAGCGGATTGCAAAGCACCTTCATTTGTTGGAGTGGAGCATTTACATGAGAGATTTTGAATTTCTGTTGTAGCTCCGTAGGTGATTCCATCAACAATAGCTTGCGCTCCATGACTAGGGAGAAGTTCGAAACGTCTAATAACCTTCAAAAACATAATTAATTCTCAGAATAGTAGCTGAAACTACCTTATCAAAAACTATTGTAGCATGAATTGGTGATAGATTGTTACAAACTGATTCTAATATTTCAACAACACGTATATCACAGTTCCTTGAAACACCTACAAGGAAGAGATGAAAAATCAAAAGAACCAAGATGGATTACCTATAGTGGTCACTGCCTTTTGAATAGCAAACGGATGATCGTATCCTTCGGCTTTCAAGACCGCCAGAATGGATTTATCGCTACAGAACCCTCCTACAAGTAGCATAGATAGGATTAACATTTCTAAGTTTTTTGATTACTTTGACAGAATCCTCTGATCAACGGACGTTTCTCAGAGCCCAGCACGACTTCCCCATCTCCCTCTGGATTCCGACGTTTATTAGCTGAAACACACATTTTAAACGAGCGTATTCAGACTTTTTTTAGGCTAATTCAATAAGTTCCAATAAAACTTTCAAATTTGATTTACCACATAGAAGATACTCGTATCGACACAAATTGGGTTGTGAAGAGGAATCGTTTCAAAAAACGACGGCACTGTTTTTCTCTTTTTTTTTTGCAATTTCTCCTCTCAGTACATGCAGCTCGTCCAGAAAACGTACTTTTATAAGTTAGTCCTATAGAGGAACCGTTCAAGTTTGTTATCCCATTAGAGAATTTCTCGGAGGAAGGTCCAGGTAAACCTGTGACGGACACATAACGACAATTGAAATATAGAACTTACAGTTATCCATGCTTGTAGACTCAGAAGCTGTTCTTGCTTTTATAGGATGATCCGTTTCTTTATTTTTTGTGTCTTGATCTGAGCTTCCTGAAGGTTGCGATGTGGGATCCGGTACAACAGATACAGTCTCAGCAGTAGTTTTACTCGCATTCGTTCCCGCCGAAGTGCTTTGAACAGCATCATCAACAATACCTCTGAAAGTTTGGTTATTCTAATCCAGAAAAAAAGTCAACTTACTCTTTGTGTTCAGATGAAGAGTCGTTTCGAGTTCTCTGAGCGTACAAACATTTCACAAACGCAGGAACATCCATCAGTTCGGCATGTTCACAATTGGGGTCTAGTAAAGCTCTGCGCTTTTTTATCTATAAAATCAATCGTGAAATCTCTACTGAACAGGAAAACAAACTTTTTTCAGGAAAGTACCAATTATTTCGGGCTCATTTAAAGTTTGACGGCAAAAACGTTTGTAAAGCTCTCTTCGCTTAACAATGCTAACACTTTTAGCAAGCTTCTGATCAACGATGTGTTCCACATGTGAAGGACACATCCACCTTTTCTTGGGCACGCCTATTAATGGTGGTTCAACACAATCGAGGTGATATATATTTCCGCAAAAATCACATTGAACCATTGGACAACTATTCGTACTGTAAAGGAAAACAAATCATAAGATTATGAACGATGAACAAACCTTCTACAAAAGTCACAGACTTCATCTTTAATTTCAGGCCTAGGTGGTCGGGCGTCTCCAGCCATGACTATCTGATCAATATCATACTCAGGAGGAAGTTCGAACTGAAACACCCAACTTTACTAAAGAAAAAACCAGACTATTTACCAGAGTAGCATTTTGTGATTTAGCAGCCTCGAGAAGCAAAGATAATGGATCATCAGGAGTTCGAGATATTCCTAATATAGTACGCGCTACTTCCTGATTCTTTTTTAATTCGTAGTCATCCTGAAGAGTAATATCAATAAACCTTATATAAAAACAACAGAGAATGCAACCGTTCTATACATAAGAAAAGAACTTACCACATCAACATTCGAATCTATGCTATCTTTTGGAGTCCTCCTATCTTCCGGAGTAGTGCTGCATCTGAACAGGAGGGAACGCTTCAAGAACTAGAAAAAAATTTTTACCTATTGCAAAGCCAGTTTCCCTCTGGTATATCGTCTGGTGAAATGATAGGTTCATGGCACATCAAATGAAAGGAAGCAGGACAGTTATCGCAGCAAAGGATGTTTCCTCCCTCCTAATTTATGAGACATTATATGCGACTCCATGATTAAAAACTTACTTTACAAACAACACAATATTGAGAATTTATGCTTTTCCAACCACGCTGAGTTGCTCGAGGTTCTTCTGGAGTATCAGCAGAAGCAGGAGATGCAACTGTAGTGCGCATGACCTCCTTGAAAGCACGCTAAGCGTTTTTAGTTTATTGTAACTGCAAACCTGGTTGATTCCGTTAGCATGATAGACATATGATGGAGCACGATTAACATTTCTCCGCGTCATGCTCAAGAAAATATATTATGAAGTAAAGAATAAAATGTAAATTATAGAGTAATCTAGCTAGAAGCGAATTTAAATGATATCCTTCGGCAAGGCAATTTTGAGCCCGCCTTTTACGTACATCGATTTTTACAGTAGGATTACGCTGAAAATGAAGCATAAGCCCCAAACATGCCTCATTTTTACAACTCTCATATTAAGTTGTGAAGTATTTTGAGTTTCAATATGTCAATATTACTCATTTGCTGAGTGTTTCGTTTAGTTTGAACTTTTGATGTCGCTGGCGCTAAACAGATCTAGACGATAAACATTTATTGAACAAAACAACAAAAACTTCTCTTCAACAAGATTTACTATTTTCAGTCGTTGACTTTCATTTACTATAAAAATCCAATAGTTTGTCGAACTTGCTCCATATTGTCTCGAGCTATGGCCACAGCTTTTTTACCATTTTCATATAATATATCCTCGACCTTCGAGAAAAAAAAATGACTGACGACTAAGAGTGACCTACTTGTTTAGTTTTTTCTAGTTCTAAAAACCTTTCACGGACAGGGCCGAATTTCTCTTCAACACTTAGTGCTAATTCTTTTTTCAACTGCGAAGTATTCCAATCTTGTGAAAGCACATGAGTCAAAGATTTACCAGACACCGCCATGTATAGGTCAATCTTTAATGAAGACAAGAAGTCAAAACGTTCGAAAATGCTTTGCATACCAAATTACTAACAGCAACTCTTCGTTCTGGTTCATAAGATATGGATGCTTCCGAATCACTCACAGCTTTCTTACATTTTTCGAAAATACTTTCTTTTGATTCGATTATCTGAAGTAGCGCATATTATATGTACTCTTTTGAAGCCATACATCTATGCGTGATCTCGAACTAGGATCCGATTTGCTCATTTTCTTAGCAGGATCTCGTAAACTTCTCACACGTGCGGAAAGTTCACGTGTAACCTAAGACCATAAGAGAGATGAAAATGAATAAAACTGTTATTTAGAACTTGTTTTGGAACAGGAAAGAGATCAGTCTGGTACTTGGCGTTGAAATTTATAGCTAAGTCTGTGAGCAAATTCAAATGTTGACTCTGATCAGCCCCGACAGGTACATGAGTTGCCTGAAAAGCTCATCCGTATGAGAGGATATAGATTCATGCTAACTTTGAACATCAAAACATCGGCAGCTTGCAAAAGTGGATAAATAAGAAGACCGACCGGTACTTCGCCCTTCGAGTATCTGAATGAAGAGATATAGCGTTTGAACGAACAGCACGTGAATATTATGCTGATCTGAAAGTATTCACTTTTGAGCTTTGTCTTTGAATTGAGGCAAGCGCTGCAGTTTAGAAACTGTTTGCAAAGCACCTAAAATCCATGTGAGTTCTGAAATCTGAGGCACATCGCTTTGACGGAAAAGGAGTGTTCGTTCAGGGCAAACTCCACATGCGAGGAGGCCAGCAGTCATTCTTCTGATATCCTGTCGAAGCTGAAAAGGGAAGAATGAGGAAACTTCGCTAGCTGAAAAACAACAGAGTTTGGCGGCTTTGGTCCAACGGAAATAGCATGTTGGTCGACAACAGAGAGCATCATGTTGACATTCTTAGGTAAACTCTGAAAAAATAAAAAATAAGGAACGGGAATAAGCGCAAACTTTTTGCAAGTCAAGCCATGGCTCGATAAATCCAAAGTAGTTGCCTAAGTGAGGTACTCCTGTTGGCTGAATACCAGAAAAGTAAAGAGACGGTGTATTGGATATGGAACAGAAACTGCGACGTAACATCTATAGAAACGTTTGAGTTACTACATGTCATAAAAGAAACCTTATAAATTGAGAATTGGAACAACTTGTGAAGGCTCAAAAATGGATCTACACTGGGGGCACTTTGATTCTCCCTCTGAGGTCAGACAATGCTCCTTAATTCAACGTTTGTGAAAGTTGATAAGATTGGGAAGTTACTTGAATACAATTCCAACAGAACAAATGTCCACAGGGGGTTGTGGAAGGATTCTTTTGTTCCAAACAAACAGCACAACGGAAAGTAGGATGCTGAAGTGAGAAGTAAACGTTTGATACACTAGTGGTAATTAACTATTAAGCCTCTTTCTTCAGTGCCTTCTCTAGTGAAATCACTAGATTCTGAGTCTATTCTCTCGGATTCCAAAACACTGCCAATCCAGAACAATATAGAAATGGCTGTCTGAGCAACAGTCAAAATCCCGAGAATTCGATAAACTTTTAAAGCCTGCAAAACAAAGAACTGATGTATAGCCCATTCTGGCTTACCCCAGTATTAGTTTGAGGACTTAACGACAAGTATGTTATTCCTGCGGTTCTCTTCGAAATATTATAATAAGCACCGTTTATGTAGAAGAAAGCAAGATGAATCCTTCGAAGTTGTGGTACACCGATAGACCTGTTGTGAGTTGATTATCTCGAACAACATTCTCAAAAACTACAACCTTATCCACTCCACAAGAGTTTGTAGAGATTTCCTAGCTTTAGGATTATTGTTTATGGGTATGCCTAAAAACTCTTCTGTGGATGAACGGCTTAACTTTAGCTGTGCTTTCTCAAAAAATGTAACTGAACATTTGGAGCTTCATCAAAACAAACTTGGATCAATGACTGTGCAAGTAAAGGAAAAAAAACGTGCAATAACACGAAGAAAAGTCTTGCGGAAAAGGAGGGACTTTTCCTTGCTATTGGAATACTCTGGAAGAGTCGAACGTACTCTTCTCCTAGCGTTTGTACACCTTCAAAGATATGGTTAATGATTTTCAAAAATTTTCATACAACCTGCTAGAGTTGTACAAGAGTAATAAATAGTTTTAGTAATGAACGGTAGATAAGGAAATAACCTAAGCCAAACTCGTTGACCACCAATCTCTTTAACAATCTGAAGTTGGGTTTACGGTTTGTCAATCATATTGAACAAACGTTTGATAGTTTTTCTTGTATTGTATCAAGCTCTTCTTGATCTCTTCGCTGGGCACGAACGATTTCACCTATTTCTGCCACATATGATTGCATATGCTGCAAAAAATGAGAAATAGTCAAGCATGGACAGAGACAGAAAGGGAATACCCAATACATGTTTTATAATTAATAAAGAATGATATTTTTTAAAATCGAACAACAAGTATGTGTAAAAAGATGAGATAAGAAAACAATGATAGACTATAATGTATCTACAACCCGATCGGGTAATGTATGAATAGCTCTTATCAATAACAAGGTAACAAGGTAACGCTATCAGAGACTAAGAAATTTTTCACAGCGGAGCGCAACTATCATGAAGAGGGCGAATTCTGATTTTCAGACACATCCCCTTTAGGAGCATAAATATTTTGAGGTCCACCCAGAGTTCGGTCATATAATCGACCTTTCTGACGAGTAGGGGTACCTTCCTGATATTTCACAGGTGTGGGGTCGAAGAACTGAAAATATAAGTTGCATTCAATAAGAGTATTAGTTGTACCTTGTCTCCAATTTTGTTAATTGCAAAGTCGTACACTACAGGGTTTTCCAAGGCATTTGTGATACTTTCCAGCAAGTTATCCTTCGTGACAAAGCTATGACTTCTCTCGATAGCAGCACGGACCTGAAAAACGAGAATTGAAGAGCTTAATACTATATTTTAACCTCTTTAGCAGCTGATTCTTTCGCCTCAGCCTGCTTTTGCAATGTTTCTTCTATCTCATTTAAGATCATAGCTTGTGTTTCTTTCCATTCACTCTGTTCACGAAGTTTTCTCAAATCAGCCTAAAGAAAAGTTGTATTCAGAATGAGAGACACGTTTTCATACTTTTTTTCTGTTGTTTTCCTCATTCTGCTTTATCAAGTCATTCAACTCATTCTCTTCCGCTTCTCTCATTGCATCGAGTCCCATTCCGGCGTTTTCCTTTTGTTGCATTTCAGCTTGGAAAACCTAAACGAATGATCAGTCAAGCACTTGCAGCATTCAACTTTTCTCAAGGAGGTGACGGCGTTGTTGTAAACTAATCTCCTCCAAAGAAGCTCTTGAACATCCTGAGGCTTCTGCCAAGGCACGTGTACAACGTGGTATAACACCTTCAAAACATATTAAACAAAAGCTCTTGTTCCAGTCTCACCTTTTTTGAGGGAGGTAATATAGGCGGTTTTCCTTGTTTAGGAGCTCGTCTACCTAGCAGACGGATTTGAGAAGTGCACGTCGCTTCTGATACTAGCAGACGACCAACATTATTAAACATCCTTCTGAATATTGAAATTGAAGAAGCTTTTGCAACTGTATTTGATTCAGATAACAGCAGGATCGAACCTGTTCATATCTCAAAAGAAAAACTTAAAAATATAAAATATTAATTAACAACAATATTCTCAACAACAAGTGTATGCCAACAAGTAAACAAGATTATCCGTAAAGTTTCATGTAATAACTCTCTCCATTCTCGTTTTGGAGAGCTGTGCTCTGAGTAACACCATCTTTGTCTGTATAATTTATGAACCATTCGTACCAAACTCCTTCAGAATCGACTTTACGTGTAATTACGAACTTTATCTTGAAAGAGGAAAATAAAAAGAATCTCTCTAGAAATATCACAAACCTTATCACCGGCATGAACACGGTGAAGCTTTCGAAGAGGTAAGAGCGCTGGGAACCAGCTAATCATTCCCTTAGAATAAGTCTTTGGTTCAATAGATAACGTGATGTTCTTGTATAAGGTCATATGGAAGTAGCCGGCAAAACCCATGATCTGTAAAGCCAGTTAATACTAAAGAAAGAATTTAACAAACATACGTCTGCTGGGACATCCAACGTGAAATCTATTTCAGCGTGACGTTCATTAGAAGATTGTGTGAAATTGGGATGATCGAACGTGAACACTTTTTCAGCCTCAGAGATATGACAACACTGTCTGAGAAAGACAACATAAACTTGATCCAAGTTCGCTACTTGTAATCCTTTCCTGAAACAGATATCAAGGTTGAGAAGTAGACGCAATGAAAAAAAAAACTTACGGGTAGTGTTGTCTGTACGTTCCATCTTCTAACTGTACAGTTCCCTGTCTTCCATGGCCGGGAATACCACTGTTCCAGTATCCGGCTTGGGCTGATAGGATAGTTTGATGCATGAGAATCGACATTATAGGGGCTATATATGTTATGATAACAATCCATGAAGTTGAAACTTACAGATATAGCTGGTGTAACTACTGGGAATGCTAATTGTTGTAGGTTTCAGCAATGACGTCACACCGTCTAAACACTCAGGGCTCAACTAAATACAAAAGTTAATAGTGATATCAAAAAAAATGTAAACCTCATTATCTCCAAAAGACCCTAATAGTTCAGAAACTATGATGTCAGGTTGAGGCAGACCAAGAGATTTGACTATTTCTGGTAAAGCTCGCATGTCTGATTCAACAATTGTGCAGCGCTGCTTCCATCTATGAATAATCTGATAAATTCATAATTATATTTGAAACTCACGCTTTTTCATTCATGTACCGCAAGGTTACTATGGCGTTGGAATTCTTCTCAACGACAACTATTTTCAATTTCAATCTGTCCTTTTTGGTACGGTGCTGTTCATTGTAATCACGTTCAGCTTCCAAAGACATCGTAACCTTCAAAAAACAATAAAGTCAGAGAAACATAGATGCTAAGCTACCAGAGGTCCTCTTCCTGCACCTAGGACATACAAAACAAGAGATTCGATATGAGCAGGAGTGTTTCCTAAATCTGTGAGACAAGCTTCTACCGCCTCTTTATATCTTCTATATTTAATTGGATCTTGTTCAAAAGTGTTGTAAACACTAGAATCAAGGTTATCAGCTAAAGGTTGTAAAGGAGCCTGGAATTTGTGCAAATTTTCAAAGATCAATTTCAGTAAGATATATACCTGTAGCACATCCATATAATTGATATTTCCATCAGCTAAGAAACCCTCACACTCTAACCCCTTGCGTTTATTTACGCCTCTGATTACTGTTCGTAGCTCCTGGAAGTGTATTAGAGCTACAGGCATTGAAGTGATGTACCTCAGAATATTCTTGTCTCAACTCTGGACGAGAAGTGGCTCCAACGGACGTTCTAACGAGCAGTCGTGAAAGGTCTGATATCCACAATGACTGAAGAAGCTGGCGATGACATCTGTGTATATATGCGATAAACAGAAAATTAATTTTCTATAACATACGGAGGTAATACTGCCTTGCAAGTTGAAGAATCTGTCTGGAAAACTGATGAATCGATCAGAAAGGTCCCAATCTAGGAGCAAAATTAACATTGCAAGAAGGTCAGAACTTACTGGCTCAGCCCACCATCGCTTTATCAACTTAGAATCTACGAATTCTTCATCTAGATCAGGAAGAACATTCAGACCAGCTAGAAAATTCAACTCTTTGATCATTAGTCTTCAAATCTTACCGATAAGTTTAGCACAGTTGAAGTTGGAGCACAGAGTTCTGAAATCAGCCCAAACTTCCCAACAATCTCGCTTATCATCTGGTTTCTTCTCCAAGCGCGACATCGTGCTCGGTACTATAACCCACATACTAGAATTTATTCCATTATTACAAGATGTTCAACTAGAAACTAACGCCATATTAACATTTTTGGTCCACAGATATTGGTTGACAACTTTGGCAAGCCGTGGAGAGTCAGCATGACGGAGATGAATGACAATACTTCTTAAACCCATGTAAACGGCATAATTTAATTCCTTAATGAAAAATGAACCCTCATTATGAACTCTGGGTAACCTTGACGAGCTCTTTCTCAGATAGCTCAGCAATTCTGGCGTCTGAAGAATCACAATCAATCCACTCAGAGATTGATCCATTAACATACGTTTCCCACAAATGATTCTTCAGTTGTAGGTCCGGTAAGTCAATCGGTGGCGGTAATTCACTTAAATGATTGGTTTGATGTCACTTGAAACGAAATCTAACCTCTGACCATCCCAGTAAGATCGTTTAATGCCTCCCACAGGGAAGCTTATAAAGTTATAGTTTTGAAGACCAATTGTATGACAATAAGAAGCGATTTTTCTAAAAAAGTTACTGTTGATTTCAATTGTTTCATTGTGTTATACTTATCAAGATCTTCTATCTTTTCATCACGGCCAGTAACCCAGCCTATATTTATTCTTCTTTCAGTACTCTCCTCAGGATGGTTTTCAGTAGCACTGGAAGAGGCGTTATTCCCACTCTATGAAGAACTTGAATAAGAGCTGAATGCTGTTTTTTCAAACCTCGGCATTAGCACCAGAGTTCGAACCCCCCTGTTGTTGCTACAATACTTTTTGATAACTTTTTATTATTTTCACTCATACCGAGTTCGCACCGCTCATGTCTCTTCTAGTCGATACCCCGGAGATCCAAACCTATAATTCCAATCGTCAAAGATGATTTCAAAGTTTCCAATATATATATTTTTTGATCTGATTACCCCCACCAGTTTGCCCATTTTAATATATATATCAGAAACTTTCATTATCTCTTTCCTACACAACTATGACAATGTTATAAAAATAAAGAAAACAAATGTGGGTAACCAGTATTATCAGTTTCGCCCACCCTCTTGTCGGAATCGAACCAGATAAACGCATACACGACTGAATTAGACAGTGGACGGTAGAAAAAACAACGGCTATACATTAAATTTATCTCTACACAATCCGATAACAAAAACTAATCTAGTTTCCGTGTTGCTTAGCGAGCTCTTCAGCCTTCTTGAACACATCATCGATACCTCCTTGCATGTAGAAAGCAAACTCTGGGATATGGTCGAGTTCTCCTGAAAAGAAATAGTTAGTTGAAAATACTTCTTCGACTACTTACCCTTGAGGATCATGTTGAATCCACGGATGGTCTCAGCAAGAGAAACGAATTTTCCTTGATGTCCAGTGAAAACTTCAGCGACTTGGAAAGGTTGAGAGAGGAAACGCTGGATCTTACGAGCGCGAGATACGGTGAGCTTGTCGTCTTCAGACAATTCATCCATACCAAGAATAGCGATAATATCTTGGAGAGATTTGTAGTCTTGAAGAATCTTTTGAACTCCACGAGCGATTCCGTAGTGCTCATCTCCGACGATGTTGGGGTCCATAATACGGGAGGTGGAATCAAGAGGATCGACAGCAGGGTAGATAGCCAATTCGGCGATACCACGAGACAATACAGTGGTGGCGTCCAAGTGAGCGAAAGTGGTGGCTGGGGCAGGATCAGTCAAATCGTCAGCAGGTACGTAGATGGCTTGTACGGATGTAATGGATCCCTTCTTGGTGGTTGTAATACGTTCTTGCATACCACCCATATCAGTGGCGAGGGTTGGTTGGTATCCTACAGCGGATGGGATACGTCCGAGAAGAGCAGATACTTCAGATCCGGCTTGAGTGAAACGGAAAATGTTGTCAATGAAGAGAAGTACATCCTGTCCTTCTTGATCACGGAAATATTCGGCAACAGTGAGTCCAGTAAGACACACACGAGCACGGGCACCTGGGGGCTCGTTCATCTGTCCGTATACGAGAGATACCTTAGAGTTGTTTCCCTTAAAACATTAGATTTAGAGGATTAAATTATTAGATTAATTACCTTGAGATCGATGACACCTCCTTCAATCATTTCGTGGTAGAGATCGTTACCTTCACGAGTACGTTCTCCGACTCCAGCGAATACAGAGTAACCTCCGTGAGCCTTGGCGACGTTGTTGATCAACTCCATAATCAATACAGTCTTTCCTACTCCGGCACCACCGAAGAGACCAATCTTTCCTCCCTTAGCGTATGGAGCCAAGAGATCTACGACCTTGATTCCGGTAACAAGAATTTCTTGCTCGACGGACATGTCAACGAATTCTGGGGCTTCAGCGTGGATAGGAGCGAAAGCCTTGGAAGCGATTGGGCCTCTCTCGTCGATTGGCTCTCCAATAACGTTCATGATACGTCCAAGAGTTTCTGGTCCTACTGGAATTCTGATTGGATCTCCAGAGTCTACGACTTCTTGTCCACGGACAAGACCCTCAGTACCGTCCATAGCAATACAGCGGACAACATTGTCTCCTAAAAAGAAAATTACCTAACATGTAACAAAAAGAAGAAAACAAGCACAAGTGTTGCCTGAATATTACAACAAGAGAAGACAACTAACCAAGATGTTGAGAGACCTCAAGAACGAGCTTGGGATTTCTTCCGGTGACTTCGAGACCGTTAAGAATAGCTGGAAGGTTTTCATCGAATTGGACGTCAACGACGGCTCCAATAACGGCAACAACACGTCCCTTGGATCCACTTGCGGTGGCCTTGGCGGAGACCTGAATTTTTACATAAACTGAGCCAATTTTACTTTACAAACCTTCTTATCAGCCTGAGCGGCTTCAGCAACAACAGAAGTGTGGACTCCCTTCTTGTCGGTAACAGTGGAGCTGCTACGGACTAAAATAGAAACATTGAATTTTGTAAAAAAAAGGTGTTCAAACCAGCAACAGCTGGAGCAAGTCTTTGCACGTTGGACTGGAGGAGTCGGGCAGTAGCCTTACGGCCCAATTGGGCCAATGATCGCGAAGCCATCCTAGTTTGTACCCCTGAACAGTTTAAATCAGAAAATTCAAGTTATTTTGGGACAAAAAAAATGCTAGAGCAATATATTTGAGTGCCATTACTGACCAGAGATCTGTTAATAATTATATATAAAAGAATTAAATAAAATTTTAGAACTTAAAACCCATAAGCAACACAGGTTTCAACGAGGAAGATGGGACGGGCTCAAGAATATAGCTACATTCCATTTAGACCGCCCGAGAGATGTGATAGGCGGAAGGTCTTGACACGAAAACCAAGAATTAGCGGTCTGGCAAATGTCCAGCTTGTATTTTGGAATTTTACTCTTATCCTTATCTCTCAATGGCGGTTAGTAGAAGTTTGTAGAGTATGAGAGATTTTTGAGTAAATAATTTACTTTACTCCTTATTTTCTATTAAATATATGTGCGTCTCGTGTCAACAAATCACCTTCAAAAACTGAACGAAAAAAACTTGCTTCTCATTAAAAAAAAGATTCATTGCGGTAAAAATACAAAATAAAAGCTCACAATTATTTTTTTTCTTATTATTCTACGAATTGGGAATATATAGGAATGTAAATATTACAATATTCAGTTTATGTATGAAAGTTTTTATGTCTACGAGATTACGCGGTTTCCTTGGACGATAGCCAGGAGAGTGTCTCTGTAGAGTCCAGAAGTGTCTCCCTGAAAGTATAAGTAAAGTTTCCGCTCATAATAGTTAGTGATTATACCTTGATCGATTCGTCCAATGTTTTTCCATACAACTCTTTGTACTCGCTCTTAATGAGTTCTAAGTCAACTTCGGAACGAGATACAAGAACGCGAATCAAGTCATTATCACGAGTTCCCAGACCCTGCAAGTAATTGTTTTGTTCATATTTTTCGCTTAATTAGCTCACTTTCATGGAATTGTACAACTGCTGGGCAAAGAACTTTTGCTTATCAATGGCTGATCGAGCAATGGTCAGATAAGTTTGACGTAAATCACCGCTGAATTCTTTCTCAATTGCTTTCTCAATGGTGTTTCCGGACAGTTCCTCGAAATAGTTGAAAACCTTAAGATTGCTTTGTTTGTTGTTGTTCTGCCTGAAATCTTCTCACCTTTCTCAATTGGTATTGATTCTGAGTGGCAAGAATCTTCATGAAGTGTGAAGGTCCTTCTTTATTGGCGAACTTTCCTTTGCCATCAGCGAAAAGTCTCACGGCATCCTGTAACAGAAGTTTCTTTTGTGATATCTCTTATGTAAGTCACGAACATCCTTGGCCTCAGCATCGTTTGTTTCATGAGAGGCGTCTTTGCTTCCGGTGACTAAAGCAATGAGGAGTTCCTTGAATTCTCCACTTGTTTCCGAAGCAACCTACAGAATAATTTTAAATCGAAAAACTTGGAGAAAAGCTTACTTCTTTCTCTAATTGTTTTCCGTACTCACGTTCGTATCCTGCACGAATGGCACGGATTTGGTCAGGAGTACGCGAACCGAGAATCTCGATCAGAACCGCTTCATCAGTTCCCAAGCCCTAATACAATAAAATGAATCAGGTTATTACGTTTTGATAAACCTTCATTGCTTGTTTGAGTTGTTTCAAGTCGTAATCAAGGGGAGTGTCCATCAATGAAAGAACAGCATTTTCAAGATCACCGCTGAACTTCTTGTCCAAAGAAGTCATGATGTCTTTTCCGTACTTGAGTTTGTAAGGTTCACGGAGCTGAAATGATAAGTTACAGGCTGAAAAAGCAAAAACAACTTACTAATTGACGTTGACCATTACTAAGAGCAACAATAGTCTTCACGACGACATCCTTCTCTCCAGCTCTCAGAGCTAAAAGAAACCTTTCTACTGTTTCGAAATACTAGTGATTCTCACCTCTATCAATCTTCTCAGCAGTCATAGCTGGATGGAATTCTTGATTGTCGACAATCGTAGCATAGGGAGAAATCATGTTTATATCTGAAAAAAAGGATATTATACGCTATATATGAGCGTGGCTCATGAAATATTGATCTGGGCAGAGGTATAAGAACGGAATAATTATATTTTTGCGAAAGAGGCGAAATTTATAGAGCACAATGAGTCAGAAAACACATCAATACACATATGATTCATTAAATAGTCGAATAAAAAATAAGATTAGTCAGAAGAATTTGATCTGCGACTAGTGTTGTTTCTCGGTTGGTCCACACAAGTGTATAATGGGGTGTTTGGCATCCTCATACGATGGAAACACTTGTGTAAGTATGACACGAAACAAAACTTTGGAACACACACACCAGACTCTGGGCAAAAGGCACAATGACTATTTAGGGGCGGAGTTAGATATTCTCGTTCCCCGTATCCTCATTGACAAGGACACAAGCAAAAAAATGGAGGACAATACGAGAAAAACACAGAAGATTTATGAAAGAAAATTAGATGCACACAGCGAAGGGAATCTGCTCTCTCTATTTGTATTTTCTGTTCTCTCCAAACGAATGATGAGAAGAAGAGGAGGAGAAATAACACAAACAGAAGATTTGATATGGAAAAAGATAAATTTGATATTTGTGGCAGTGAAATCGATGATAACACTTTTACGTATAAACGAAGTCTCTAAACAACGTTACAAACTCTGAAAGACAGTTCAGAACTTCATGAAGGTTATCAAAGTGTTTGATTCTGTTTGTTTCGACCTTGGTTGGCAAAAACCATTGGGTCTTTCGAAAGAAACAGAAAAACAGCAGTCATTTTCTTAGGGAAGAGGGAAAAAGGAAAAATGTCACTCACATAACAACAAGCATGCAACAAATGGCTTACGAAGGAAGAAAAAAAAATCGAATCTTGAGCTTTTCATTCTCTTTCAAGCATGTTGGTTGTTGTCAACTTTCGGATACATTCGATATGGAGTAGTAATGAAATACATCATAAGTCAATCAACACTCATTGGTAAAGTAGAAAATTGAGCTGTCATTGACAAGGAGAAAGATCAAAGTACTCACAAATGGCATCGAAAGGAGTCTAAAAAAAGCCACAACTAGTACTAGAAACATCTTAAAGTAATTTGGAGATGGGAAAGAAACAAAGTTCGTCATATGAGAAGAGTATGAGATGGCGAAAGGAAGAAGAAATATATATGCCAAACCCTACACAGCATGGCCAGCCAGCAAAAAGAAATTGTTGTTTGGCGCAAGCATGCTGTCGATACACTGATGCTGAGCGCATTTGGCTAGTTGGGTGGGACAGCCGATTAAAACAGCCACGATAACTCAGATAAAGTTTTGTTGTATTGGCCAGAATATTGAGGGAATAAGGCCTTTATGTTACAAAAAAATGCTACATCGGGAAAATTGGATTGAAACTCCGCCTCATGTTTGCTAACTTGCCAATACTTTGAATAAAACAAAGTTTACTTTAGCAGCCTCCCGTTTCTTCTTTAACAACTTCACAAACTCGCGCTTGAACTGAAGCAAAAGAGTAAACGATAAACTTGCGAAGTTCAAACTAGTATTATAGCTCCTTTGCAGGAAAAATTATTTCACATGTAGAACAGAACAATACGACTGAGTGAGAGAAAGAGCCACGTCTCTTCTCGCATTAATGAAACAGCTGAAAGAGAAAGACGAGCGCATTGCTGCTACTAGAAAGAAAATAATCTTTTATAAAGACATTGTAACTCCGCCCCCCTCTTCCGTCGTTCAAAAGACAGATAGATGAATCATCACTGTGATGAAATCATAACAACAACACAAGAGTGAGAATAAATGTTTATTAGAACCTGTACTTCATAGTGACGAAAAAAGATCAAATTTAATACCGAGTGGTTGAAATCTGATGGCCAGCGATGGATCTGAAATGATCGAAACTCTAACTTCTATACTTGTTTAGAATAACGAAATTTCATAAAAGGTCTCAAGTTCAAGTCTCAGAAACTAACTCGGATAATTATGGGTTCCGGAAGATTATAGAGAGGAAGACACAATCCAATGAATGACTTGACCAATAAACTCTGATACAACAGAGGAACAAACTAGTAAGCCTTTTCACGACAAGGCAGAGAATATGGGAAAGAAATTGACTAACCTTCACACAACTAACCTCAAAAGAGATTTCTCGGCAATCGGAGTCTTAAAGAGTTCCAAATCTAGCGACGCTTCAATGTGAATGATTTTGAATTGATCATTAATAAGTAACAACTTACAGCTCTATCTTTGGAGCGGCTTCTATCCCTTCTATAACTATCCTTTCGGTAATCCCGGCGGTGCTTCTCATCCCTGTGATCACGGCGATCATCTCTCCTATCTCTTCTTTCACGACTTCTCGATCTTTAAAATTTAGAACATTTTTTTGGAAAACAATAGGTGTTTTACCTTTTTCTGTCTCTATTATCTCTATTATCTCTGATATGTCTATCTTGACGATCCTGTCTCTCAGGTCTATCAGGTCTCTCAGTTCGATCAGGTCTATCGGGTCTCTCAGTTCTCTCAGGTCTTTCAGGCCTTTCATAATTTTTGTCCCTTTCTCTGACTTCTTCCACTTTAGGCTTCGGCTACAAAATTTTCTTAAGATTTGAGTTTTGAGCTTAACGATTACCTTATCATGTTCGTCCAAGTACTTACGGATTTTAAGGTACGCAATATGCAACTTACCACTCAAGTGATCATCTATTCTTGACTGAGCATCATTTGTGAGCATGAAGCAGCCACACACCTGGAACATTCGAAGGTATCTGATCATAACTTAACTTTGAACTTACAGCACAAACTTGCATTTGTTTGTTACCAGCAGTTACTTGATCCTCAAAAGCGAACATTCTTTTCGCTTCTTCAGCGAGTTTCTCCTCTTCCTGATCAAGTTGAATGCGTTCCAACTAAAAACATAAGCTTTATCTATGATACTTTACAATATCCTACCGTGAGATCATCTGCTTTCTGAACAGCAGATTGAGCAGCAGCGACATTTCCTCTTTCGCCTTCAATCTGAAGTCAAGAGTAGAGGTTTCAACTATTAATAGTAAGCAACCTGCGCTTCCTCCATCAACTTTTCAATTTTTCTACCAAGTAAATCTCTCTGTTCGATAATCTCTTGACGTTTCTTTTCAATAGGATTAGCAGAAGCATGTTGATCGCCTGAATATTTTCTCTATGCATGTCGAATCAGAGTTCTCACCTTGAGTCACAAGAAGTCTCGCTTGATTCTTCTCGATTTTTCGTAAAACATCATTGTGCATTCTACGACATCTCTCCAAGAACTTTTCTTCGTAACCTAATCTACCAAACTTCTTACTCTCTCGATATCTCTTTTTCAATCCTTCGTCGTGGATGGGCTGAAATATGAATGAATATAAAATAAAACACTATTAGAGCTTACAAAAGGACAAAATCCGATGTCATTTTTTGTATTCCTGAACGATTCGTTCAAGCAAAATGCAACTAAGAAATCTCGACAAACATCAGGACTCGTATAGTCAATTGCAGCTTGCTGAAAAGAAACAGATTACGAAATAAACTCTACAATCAAAACTAACCTCTCCTGGCAGAGCATTTCTCTGTGAACCCATTAGCTCATTGAGCATCTGAGCCATGTAATCCGTCATTTTTCCGCAATTCGATGAGATACTTGAGTCTGAAACAACGGAAAAAAACATTATTAACTTATTTCTTCATATTGGAATGAAAAATACATCAAAATAAATTTAAAATAATTATATTCACGATCGAAGTATAGCTGAAAAATAGATCCGCAATCGCGTATGTAGCTGCTTAGCGTCCCATATCTCTCTGGTACACAATGCCAGCTCTCAATCTTTGCATAATTTTAAGCTTTCATGATTCGATTGTGAAGTTATGAATTAATCTCTTTCAGATGACAGTTGTAAATCCTGAGTTGGGAGAGGACGAAATCCTCCTGGACAGTGATGTAGAAGAACAAAATCAGGTTCGCGAAAGATCATATGACCATTAAAACCGCTGATATAAGGAAAGTGAAATGGAGTCAGAAGTCGAACTTGAAATTGAGGATGAAGATGTTAGAGTTGGAGATGATCTATATCAGCTGACCAAAGAAGAGGGTAAAGTGATTACAGCTGCGGAATGGAAGAAATTTTTCCTGAAATCTGAATACTCTGAGGTGCTTACTTGCTTTCTAGCTCCGTACATGAATGATGCTACAGGATATAATGGAAAGAATGGATAAAATGAAACCTTATGAACAAGAAGAAAGTACTGGCAAAACTATTTGTACCAAATCTATGAATCAGTTCGTTCTGGTAAATGAATCCTTCCGGATAAGTTATAATTCCATTTCTTTCCAAGGGTGTTTGCATGTACATCAACAAAGGTGGCAAAATCAAGAGTCAAGTGATGAAATCACTTTGCAAAGCTATTTTCTCTTCCTGTGATCTGCTGTATTTGATAACTATTCAGCTCAACAAAATGATCTCAGTAAGTTTTGGAGTTTTTTTCAAATTCTATTTCGAAACTTTTAGAATGGTGAGATGACGGGAAAGTTCGTTTGGTTTAATGTGTTCAACTTCCTCAGATTCACTCCAAATCCTCACGAAGAAGTTAAATCCTTGTATTTCAACCAAAAATGTAAGTTTTCTAGCCAATTCCTTTTTTGTTCGATAAATGTAAATGTGAACAACCGTTCAATGCAAAATACGAAAAAAAAATGAAATGAAACGGCTCATTCCGCATGAATTAGAAGTGAAATATCGGTATTGCCTGGAACATCAAAGAAAGCTTTTCAATTACAGTCCACATCCTTCGTAGTCGTAAGAAAGGGAAGTTGGTTAGCGCATGGCAGAACACTTGGATTTCAATCATGAGATGTGATGTATGTGTGTTAGTACTGTCGTTCGAAGTAGATATTTTGTAGGTGCCGAGAGCTGTATTAGTGAACATGATCCCATATATAACCGATAAGGTTCTCAACTCTCTGAAAGAGCCTCATAAGACCTCGGATTTCTTTTTTAGAGTACGTTAAAGTTATTGAAAAAGCATAATAAATATTTACAGATTTTCGAAAAAGGTGACGTATTATCTATCTTATCTCTGGGTGCCATTTTCAGGCTCATGACGAAACACAATTTGTAACGAATCCTTTCTGAAAACAGAACTAATCTTCATTTCAGTGATTATCCTAATTTTTACGATCAAGTGTACTCTCTAACCAAGCCCTTCGTTCTTTACATGAAACAGAAGTTCAAGTTCATTGAATTGTTGAACATTTTCCTTTCATCCACGTAAGACACATAATAATAATCAGATCTCAATAACTGCTTTTAGACATTTGCCTACATACGTTGTTGCTGGGTTCGCAAAAAGGTTATCACGATGTCTCCTGTATGCTCCCTTAGATGCACAAGAACCCATTCTAGGATTGATCAAAAATCTTATCATTAGACATATCTCAATTCTACCTCTCATGCATAGAGAAGTCCCTAGTGAGTGATAGAGTTCAATAATACAAATGAGAAGAACTTTTTAGGCACCTTGGACAATGATCCTTATGATATGGATGAGCCAAAATTGTGCTCATGTAAGGCCACTGAAAGTTCTTTTTGGGAGATCAAGGTGCGGCTTCATAGTTAAATGTATCTAGTTTTATTTTTCCTAGACTTTAATAGAACATTGGAGCAAGAATGTTGGAAGAAGAGCAACTTTCGTCGAGAAGTCACTCCCTAATGTTTGTTTTGAAGTTTTTCCTTTTTTCTTCAACAAGTGAAATTAAGATCGAATCAATCGTACGCAATCGTACTGTAGATGAATACTTTAGTAAAATGATGCTTGTCAAATACGGAGAAGCTGCCGATGAAGAAAATGACGAAGAAAACGCGGTAAGCTAACAACAGATTTTGGCAAACTCGTTTATTCAGAATGGATATTCCGGAGGGAACGATCGAGATTACCAATATCGCGGAAGACGCGGTTATTCAAATTATGGTAGAGAACCGAAGGTATAGTTCAGATGTGCTCACTGTTTTGAAACTCACATTTTCCAGGAACATACGGAAATTCCTACTAGCTTCAGCGTCCCTACTTCCGATTTCTTCCCAACTCATTCTGTTACTTACGATTACGGGAAATTCTGGATAGTTTAAAGCTATTTGTTGTTTTTATGTTGTTTCTTGTTATTCGTTTTTGTTATGAATTATCGCATACTTTTCCTCCCTTTTATTGAACGAAGTTAACTGCTTCCGTATGTACCTGAAACCCATATAGATGATGTATGTCGTAACGATTTTATTTTAAGATGAATGTGAATAGCCCACATCCAGGCTCCATTCTCGGAGGTATGGGTGGTGAAACCCCCTCTCATGGTGGACCAAACTCTATTCTAGGTAAATGTTTGGATGCAATATATATTATATATATGATGTTTTCATAGGTAGCCATGGTGGACCCAACTCAATAATGAACCATCACGGCGGTCCCGGTTCCGTATTAGGACCTGGATCTATCATTGGACCAAACAGCTTAGTTGGCCCTCACAGTATTCTTGGGCCCAGCTCACACATTGGTCAAAATTCTCAACAACCTCAGAGTAAGAATATTTCCCAGGGAATCCAAAACAAGATTCAATAGGTATTTATGGACATGGTTCTATGATGAGTGGATTCTCTCAACATGACCGAGGAGGTCCAGCAAGTAATATCAACATGAATCTGAATATTAATCCACCTTCTGTGGGAAATTTGGTTGCTCCCGGTTCAGTGTTACAGGTTTTTTTTCTTTACTTGAGCTTTACTGTTTTCTTCAGGACCTCGGGCCTGGTTCTGTTGGACCTAATCTTGCCGTTCCTATGACTCCTCTTCACAACGTTGATCAGGTATTTGTCTGAGCACAGATATAGCTCATCATCATCTTTAAGTATCGAGATGATCAGCATCGTCAATTATCACAAGTTTCTAATATACCAGCAGTAATGCCACAAACACCCATGAGTACTCTCGATGTTCCTATGCCAACCTTGCAAAATATTGTATCTACCGTTAATCTAGGTGAGCAGAGTTGATGGTTGCTGAATATTTTTTTTTTCCAGGAGTTCAATTGGATTTGAAAAAAATTGCCCTTCATGCTAGAAATGCAGAGTATAACCCCAAACGTTTTGCCGCCGTTATCATGCGTATCAGGTATGTTTTAGTTTTGTTATAGAATTACAGTTATAACTCAGAGAGCCACGAACAACAGCTTTGATTTTTTCGAGTGGAAAAATGGTTTGTACCGGAGCGAAATCGGAAGAGGCTAGTAGGTCAGTAGCTCTGAGTTGTATGTAAATCTACGTTTCCTATATTCAGATTAGCAGCGAGAAAGTACGCTCGTATCGTTCAGAAGTTGGATTTCCCTGCGAAGTTTACCGAGTTCAAAGTGAGTGTCTAATTACAATTATTTGTTTAAGATAGACTTCAGGTTCAAAATATGGTTGGTTCTTGTGATGTTCATTTCCCAATCCAGTTAGAAGGTCTCTGTATTCACCACGCTCAGTTCAGGTTTGAAAGTGTCAAGAATAACTTACAATAAGAAATAATTTCTTAAGTACCTACGAACCTGAGCTTTTCCCTGGACTTATCTATCGTATGGTCAAGCCCAGAGTTGTGTTATTAATTTTCGTCTCTGGAAAGGTACGTGATCACTGATGGAGATGTTATTAATTAATGTACATGCAGGTTGTAATCACAGGTGCGAAATACAAACAAGATATTGATGAAGCTTTCAACCAAATCTACCCAATTCTGAAAGGATTCAAGAAATAGAGAAGAATTGTGAGTCCTAAGTTGTTTTGTTGTCTCTTCACAATCTGATAGTTTTCTGTTGAAGAGAACTCTTGTTTTTTGTAAATTTTCACGCAAAATTCATTGTTCTATATTGTATTTTCACTAATTTTGCAATCGTTAACGGGTTTGACTGAGTTCCAGGCACAGTAGGCAGATACTACTAGTAAATATAATAAAATCTAAATAATTTCGAAGCTTTGAAAGTATAGCCCATTGATATTTAAATATTGAGACTTTGTGTGTTGATTTTTCCTATTCCTCAAAGTATTTATCTATTTAATTTTTCAAACTATACATATATATATATATATACATGATCAAAGAATAAATATTGATACTCTCAATACTTCACATACTACTCTCGTTTATTCGATGTATTGATGTGACATGGATCTGTTTATGAATGTCTTTCTCAGGGCAGAATGGATATACAGAGCTGTACTTCATCAACAGAACTCCTGGAGAAGCTCTCCCAGAGTCCAGCTGAACAGGTACTTCAGTTAGCAACAGAACTCTTGGAAATTGTGATAGGAGCTAACTTTACCTCATATAAGAGTAAGTGGTGGTGCAAGATTCGTCAAGACATTACTTATAGATGAACATCCTCTCCCTAGTTTTTTGACTGAAGATTTTGCCCGAAGTGAACTATCATTTGGTTTAAATGCTCCATTCGTTAAAGCAACGTAGGCAATCGTCTAGTCATAGTTCTAAAACTCTAATTTACTCAGAGCTCTCCCATATTTGTACGTGTCCAAGTTAGCCATTCTAGACAGACCACAGCAGGAAACAAGCTCTGAGTGGCTGTTGCTCAGCTTCAGGTATCCAGAAAAACCTATATCTGAGCTTAAATAGATTCTTAAAGAATTTTGGGGATTTGGCAAAAAATACTGATAGAGCCCAGCATGGAAATAAAAAACCAAATAGAAGAGATTGTAGGCTCTGGCTGATTATTCGTTAATTATCTTCTTGTTCAGACTTCTAAGATAGACACTTCAACTCTAGCATGGGATGATCAAACGGTATTTTCTTTGGAGCGCGCTGATTTACACTTAAAGTATTTCGATTATGAGAAGTGTCAACAACTTATCGAGTAAGTTAGTTGAAAACGATCTTCCTGATGCTCTCATTTTAAGATCCTCACTAGAATCATCTGGTCTTAGTGTAGAACTCGCCGGTAAAATGGGAAAACGCACACGGTTCCAACAAAAAGCCGTCTCACAACTTATCCTTGAGACCGTATGCATATTTTATGTTATGAATGACATATCATATTGAAATTCAGGTATCTATAGCTCGACCACCCCTTGAAGAAGACAAAGATGTACCAAGTAACTGCGCCTTAAACGATGACACTCTACTTGAAAAAGTTCAAACGCATATTTGGAAAGCGCTCCTAATTCTATCATTACAGATAGCTCTGCTTGAAGGATCAGATAAAGTATGCAAGCTAAATTCTACACAATTAGCATTGTTATTGAACATGTGCCGGTTCGAAGTAAAAACTCAATACCATGATGATGTATTACTTGAGAAGTCGAATGCTTTTCTGGATGTTGTGAGTTTTTAAATGTCAATTCTTCGCTAACTAACAATTGATAGATTATCAGCGCACAAAGATGTTGGGCTGTTCAAGCTGCTGCTTTACTTTTGAGATCGAAACTCGAGAAGAAAAACAGCAGAAAAGTAGAAAGAGCCTGTAGTCAATCCGAAGTTATTACTAAGCTTATGAGAGGAATTGATGACGAGGTGAGTGTTTGAAGAACAAAAAAAAAAGAACAAAAGGCGTGCCATGAATTGGTTCAATCAAAGAGCGGGAAGCAACTCTTCTCCGTTCAGACACCTATGCCAGAGCGAAAAAAAAGAGGAAATATGGTACTGTCATCTGGATTAGAACCTTTCTGGCAGGCACAAGTGATTCAAACCGATATTTTACGCTCATTAGGATGCACTGCGGTAATTAAAATTGAACACGAAGTTATGCTTTGCCTTATAAATTCAGGAAGCTCTTTTGATTCTGGAATCTCTACAGATGTGGGATGCAGTTATAGATTGCTACAAAAGTTTGGGACAGTTAGAAAAAGCAGAAGCGTTGATTCGGCGTTTGCTGATAGAAAGACCTGAAGATTCGATGCTCTATGTCTACCTTGGCGATATTACTGAAGAAGTCTCATACTACGAAACAGCTATCAAAGTTCTAAGCTTTCTCTAATATTACCGTATACAAAAAATTCCAGATATCTTCTGATAAAAATGCTAAAGCAAGAAAAGCCATTGGAATGTTGCACTTGATACGTAAGCAATACGATGAAGCTTATGTTCACTTGAGGAGATCACTTGAATTGCAACCAATCCAAGTACTTGATGAAAATTCGAATCATTAAAACCCACTATTCAGCTTGGAGTTTGGTTCAACGCTGGTTACTGTGCTTGGATGACCAAGCAATATGTGGAAGCTGCCACATGTTATCACAGATGTGTCAGTTTAGAACCTGAGCATTTTGAGGCTTGGAGCAATTTGAGTGCAGCATACATACGACAGAATCAAAAGGAGAGAGCAAGAAGAATACTACAGGTATCCAGTACAAAAATCGGACATGAAATGAGTTTTCATCTGTCTATAGGAAGCTCTCAAATACAATTATGAGCATGCAAACGTTTGGGAAAATTACCTTCTACTTTGCGTGGATACAGGCGAATTCACAACGGTTTGATGATAGATTTGATTTTTTAAATCAAATTTTCAGGCTATCCAAGCATTCCATCGTCTATTGGATCTCAACAAACGTCAGGAAGATAATGAGGTTTTGGAAATTCTTGCTAAAGAAGTATTATATAGAGAGGAACAAGTGGTTAGCTCATCACGTCTTAGATAGTTCATTGAAATTTCTTTAGCGTGAGGGTTCTGAAGAAGAGAAAACTCATATTAAGCAAGTGAAAGATGAACTTATCAAGCTATATGCGCGAGTAACGGCGACGCAAACACTTTCAAGCTTAGGGTGGGCTTGTTACGCCCAATTGAAAAAACCCACTGACGAGAACATCGTGGAATACGAGAAGTATATACAGTTGCTTGAACGATCAGTTTTGAGCGCCAGCAACAAGCCGGTAAGATCGTCAATCCAATTCTAAACATCATCAGATATTTTTAAAATTTTCAGGATTGGTCTAAAGATACTAATAATTGTATTTCAACATTGAGATCTGCGATCAGTTTAGCAAAGGAGAGGTTAGAGCTTGCTAAGATCAAGGGAACAGAGGAAGCAGAACGTCAGGTATTGAAATTTACAAATGGTTATGACTATGAGATATAACTATAGGCCAAAGCCAAAATTCGTCTTAGTGTTAAGTCTATGATAGCAACTGCAGAAAAGCATCATGAAGGTGAAGAAGAAGTTATCGAAGTCGTAAATGAAGCTAAAGAAGTTTTAGCTAGTGTTATGTGATCTATTGTTGTCTAATGTTGTTACATGTTAATTTCAACTTTCTTCTGTTGTTCTGTTATTCTGTTTTCCTTTTTAATGAAAAGTTTTAAATCTTCGTTCTCATAAATGAATAAAAAAAATCATATAGGAATTCTAGTATGGTTGTTATTCTTTCTCATAGATACTACTTGGCTGCATTGCTTAGTAACTTCTAATTTTTTACCTCAACGTTGCTCAGTTACAGCTCTCGAACCACACGAATCCGATGCATTCCTTTTCATATCTTGACAGCATCGCTATTCTGAAATGAGCTCGGCACAAAATAATAAAGAAGGAACCAGTACTAAAATTAACCAAATTTCTGTCATATTCCAAGATGGTCTACCATTCGAGTGTACATGCCCGGTATGTCAACAGGTCAGTCACTACATTCTTCCCTTTCCTTAAGAAATCTTAAGGCCTTGCGCTCACCAATAAAAGCATCTTGTGGTCATTATTACTGTAAGGATTGCCTACAGGGGTTTTTAAGACAAATAATAATCTCAGAAAATTTACGTTATTCAGTCTGGCTATCTGCTCGGTATGTTCATCTGAGATCGATAAATCACAAATACTGGTCGACAAAGAAAAACATCGGCAGGTAATCACATTTCCTTTAGTTCAGCTAGAATCCATGCAGGGTTTTTGTTTTTGTAATACACTGGTCCCATCTGTTTTCGATTTTGCCATAACTTTAGGTTCTTTTTCCCTGGGACGAAGAATTTCGAAAGAGCAAACCTGAAATCAGAAATAATCTTTCAAAACTTTTCCCTTATTCCTACCAAGTTTTCATCAACACTCATTACGGCTGCATTGTTGTCGAACTCACCACAATATCTGAGAACGATTTCATTCAAAAAACTATAGACAAACTCACTTAGGGGCAGAGAAAATCGTCACTAATTTTCGATTTGCAAAGAATTCGTAACCGTCTTGCACAACTTGATGAGCTCTGAAGAGAACAACAGTAGAATCCTTATTTTCACATTGGAGCTACCTAACTATGAGATCAATGTCCATTTCCAAGCAAAATTTCTTAACAACATCAGCTCCGAAAATATATGAAATTCCTCGACTACTTTTCTCCCATCCAGTAATATTAAGATCCGGATCGGACCATAGTAGATCCTGCAGATAATTTGAAGTTATGAGAGTACCATCAATAAGATATACAGTAGCTAATCCTTTCCTAGGTGGATCAAAGGGCCTCTTTATCACATTATCTGTTAATTGTGGCCACCCTCGAAGGGCTGGGGACAATCCTCCGTGCATAGCGAAGATTCTCTGTCCGACTATGGCACACAGTGGCAGGCAGTTGAAGAAATTCTGAAGAATCATCCTACAGTTACATGTTAAATAATTGTCAAAACTTGAAACGCATGGTATAGCTTAACAGAGTATCGACGTTTGCATTCTTCGTAGAAACCATAAGTTCTATTTATAGAGCTGCATTCGTGATTGCCACGCAAAATGAAGAATGTTTCAGGATACAGAACTTTGTATGCCATTAATAGACAAATCACCTAGAAGTTGTAAACTAAACGAAGCTTTTTTACTGTGATTCCATACTTCTAATTGTTGTCGACCCCTGTCCACATAATCTCCTAAAAAGAGATAATTGGTGTCGGGAGGAAAGCCACATCTGTTGAAAACACGTAGCAGATCAGCAAACTGTCCATGAATATCGCCACATATCTACAAATATTACAGAGATATATTTGACAAAAACATTTTATCAGGATATTAACCTTGAGGGGTGGATCAACTTCAATCATAACCGGTTGACTCATGACAATAGTAGTGCACTTTCTAATAATATTTTCGATTTCCTCCTCCTTTATTGTATAAGTCAGACTTCTTTTCCGAACATCATTAACTGAAAGTAAGAACAATTCGAATATTTAATAGAAACATATAATTACCACCGAGTAGACGATCGAGAAACGCGATTATTTGTTTTTTTGACATTTCTTCGACCAGTGACGAGTAAAACCGACCGCGTGTCGGTTGTGAAAAATTAAAATGAAACCCTCTGGCTCATTCCGTGAAAAGCTTCAACGGGTCTCATTGCAGCTAATGGAAGAAAAATTATGAAAAGAAGAAAAAGATAAAATATTGACCGTGTTTCAACAAATATTGTTTCAGTCTCGAGAATAGATGTTTTTTAACAATCGTCTCCTACGTCGAACTGTTTATGAGTTTTACTATTTCAGATTCAACAGCTCGGCGTCATCTGTACTTATAACGACAATGGATGTGAATGGAAAGGAACTTTGAAACAACTAGAAGTAATATCAGATTATCAAATGTTTTCTTATTATTTCTTCTCAGACTCACGTCAAGAGTTGTAGCTTCCGCGAAGAATTATGCTCTAATTGTCGCAGGAAAATACCTAAACTTCTATTCAAAGAACATTCTAAGAAATGCACTACGACTGTTCAGAAATGTGAATTCTGTGGATCATCTTATCGTTCTTCTGACATTGATCGCCATCTCAGAGTAAGCTTATGCATCGAAAGTGATCAACAACACAGCTCCAGATTTGTACAAAAGTTATAATGAGTTGTCCTTTCAACTGTGGTTTACAAAACAAAACCAGAGAAGAGGTGAGTTAACTGAGTTACACTCACTGATTGAACGTTCAGATTGAACAACACAAAAAAGTGTGCCAGAATGCGGACAACATTTGTCCATTCTCAGACTTCGGTTGTAATTTTGACGGCGATAAAGAAGCAGTACAAAATCATCTTGTCGAGGAACCTATCAAGCATCTTATGTTGTTATGTGATGAAACTGGACTTGTGAAAGTAGGAACTGATCTTAATGAAAATGTGATTAGTTGCATTGAAGGAAGGCTATGCATATCTCCTGGACAAGTTAGTAAATATTTTAGACCAGGCCAAGCACTTGGAAGAAAGAGTGAGTCGGTTGTTCAGTATTGTTTTATAGTTCAAAAACCTTCAGAGCTACTTCTGTGAAGCTTTATACGGTCCTCAGCTCATATGGCGTATAGATGATGTAAATAATAAAATGAACGAAGCAAAGGTATTTTGTTCAAAAAAAAAGGTTATCAGCTAATTAATTATAAGAGTGGTGCCAGACCGGTGATATATTCCCCTCCATTCATGTCTGGAAGATATGGTTACAAACTGATGGCAAGTGCTTGTTTGTATGGAGATGGTCCTAGTCGTGCCAAGTCCATGTCTCTTTATATGTGTATATTAAAAGGAGAGTATGATGGAATTCTGGCATGGCCATTCAGCATGACAATCAAAGTCACTATTATGGATCAGGTACTTCAACGAGGAAGTTATCCTTGTATATGTTTATTATAGAATGATGATTACGAGAATCGAGTTCATTTCATATATACATTCGATCCCCGTTGTCTAGTCACCTCCAAAAGCTATTTTATAAGCCGTCCAATAAGTGAACGGAATGCTGCTTTTGGAGCGCAAGCTCTGATTACTCTAGACCAACTGGAGCATTACATCAGAGTATGTTACTTCACTGAACGGATTCAACACAATTAATTTTGCAGGAAGATACTCTATTTTTGAAGATTGAGTTGGAGACTCCCCCAACTCCGCTATCATTGAAACAAAATGAAAATGTGGTTGCTAAGCAGAGTGCAACTCCTTCAGTTGTGCTATACAACGTGAATGAAATGGAATAGCAGTTATAAAACCCATCGGACTGGTTGGCTTTTAGTGAGCTTTATGAGTCAAAAACAACTAGTCATTAATGCATATTAAACGACTGTACACAATTTATGTTTAAACACTTTAGTTTCACTGGGACAGTAAATGAAAAAATATATCTAGAAATTTACATAAGAACTGCATATAAAACACTTTCTAAGGACATACAATTCAATACATTTCTACATCGAATCATTCGAACGTTACATGGTAAAGGAAAAATCACAACATAGCACAGAAACGTATTTCTGAGATCACAATTACAACCAAGGTATTCAGACATAGCTTCCGAAAGAAAATATGATCTGAAAGTACTAACATAGTTTCGTCTTCGGGTTAAAAGGTGGAAGTAGATATACAAAAGAGGTGTCTCGGCAGAAGCCTGCCAGTTGCCTGAGTAATGACTGAAATAAGAGAAAGCTGTAGAAGTGTAGAAGTTATAGCACCAGGAACTCTCAGATGTGAGAACAAAAAAAACTTCAAACTAAAAAAAGAACAACCGAAATATCTCTGAGAAACCTGGACAGAAGGAAAAAAGATTTAGAATCCATTTTAAAAAACGTTAAAACTGGGAGATCAGATCAGGAGGTAGAACACTCACAAGTCCAATCGTACAGCTTTTAAAATATCAAGAAATAAAGTCAGACAACTTATAAGATGAAGTCAGAACCCTATTGTAACTTGTAGCATCGCTACATTCAGTTTCAGTTTAGACTGAGAAAAAATAAGATGTGAAGATATGAACCGCAAGATAGATGAAGTCTTGCTTCATCAAGTGTACATGTCAACCAACAAATTTTTGCCGTTTGAATTCTTAAGGAGCTGAAACGTTCCGACAAGATCGCAGGAAGAAGGCAGAAAAATGAGAGATGACAAGCTCGCTCGAGTTTACGGTTCCTTTCGGTCAAGATACAAGTAGGTTACGTGGACGCCACGTAGTTCACGTCACGTCAAACATAAAAGAACTTTATCTTCATTCTTTCACCACATCTTGAGATAACCGGTCGAAGACCGAAGTAAAATAATATAGTTGTTAATGTTTATGTTTTCTGATTATAAGAAAGAGAGACTGATTGAGACCGGGGCGAGTTCTGAAATTATTTGTTTCGTTAAACTTTCGTAAGATTATACTATACTTGTACTGTTGAAGAACCGGAATGAGTTCCAGATTGACTTCCTGTAGCTATAGTGAGAGGTGATCCGGATATACTCTGAACAGGTAGAAAATTATATTAATCTCTTTTTTGGAGAAATATTACCGCGCGAGGTGGACTCGGGAGCCTTCTCTGAGCAGGAGCAGTAAGATGATGCCGACTTTGAGTTGGTGTGGGTAGACATATTGTTTCTAATCCTGCAAAATTCAACTAGAGAATTGTTTCTACTGGTCATAGAGCCATGCCTGTCTTTCTCTTCATCACATCATGGTGAAAAGCTGAACCCGAGAGCTCCTCGTTCAAAACCTAAATGGTACAATTACCCACGCAGATAAGACAATAGATACCTTGTCTACAATATTACTAACTTGCTTTACACGATCGGATCTTTGAATTGGTGGACTAGATTGGGCCTAAGATAACGGTTTAGAAGCTATTTCTTTATAGATGTTCACCTTAGTTGCTTCGAGAAATCTTTGATTAAGAAGCTGCTGGATTTGCTGTTGCTGTAGCTGTTGTTGGACTTGTTGTAAATGCTGATGCATCTGCTGTTGTGCTTGCTGTTGAGCTTGTTGCTGAGCTTGTTGCTGAGCTTGTTGTTGAGCTTGTTGCTGAGCTTGTTGCTGAGCTTGTTGCTGAGCTTGCTGCTGAGCTTGCTGTTGAGCTTGCTGAACTTGTTGCTGAGCCTGCGAAGGAAGATATCCCTGAGTTTGCAACAGCTGTAATAATCAGCAAGATTGAGACAATTGGTTAGAATGAGTGAGTTTACCGTATAAGCAGTTTGATAAACCCTGGGCAACAACTCTTTATTACCAATAATAGCCGACAGAACTGGACCAGCGCTGTCAGGAATTTGTAAAAGAGCAGTACTGATGGGATTCAACTCCATAGAAATATTTTTGTTATGTAAAATTCGCTGTCTGATTTTCTCTCTCCTGTAGACAAACTTAATGTGAGAAGCTTTTAAGGATCAAACTAACGTATTCTTCAAATCAGCATTCCTTGAAACATAGGTCTTCTTTCTCTGATAAATGAGTTGAAGCTGATCAGAAAACTCCTTCTTGTTCTTATCAAAATCTCTTGTTTGCCATTCGAACTTAGAGTTTAGTAGTTAGCGAGATGTTAGAACATAACAACATACCTGTTTCCTACTAGCTAACGCAACTTCTTCATTTTCAATGGCTTTTAATCTCTCATCCATTTCATCAATTTTTTTCGTAACCTTTAAGAGCATGCATAATTGAACAGAAAAGCTAGCAAGTAACTATACCGTATCACATTCTTCTTGGGCTTGTGTTCCTTCTTGCGCTAATTTTACCTGCAACTGTAAGACCAAGTTGCGTAACTGAAATGTTAAATTGATTTAAGGAAATATATCACTAGGATCATACAAATAACTGTTGGAATTGTTGAGGAGTGCCTGGAGAGCCAGTGGCAGCACTTGCTTGAGCGAGCTTTTCAGCACCCAGTACAATCAAGGAATGTAGGTGTTGAGCCTGCTGAACAACTTGTTGAACTGTTTGTTGCGGAGCTTCTGTCACCTGTTCAGTTTGTGACACAGGTGGAACAACCTGTGCGCTTTGCTTCAAGAAGTTACTATATTCATTATATCTCTTCTGCAAGAAACAGAATGTAACGAGTAGCAAATAAAATCTTTAAAAACCTGTAACTCCTGATGAAGATCCACTTGACTGCCTGAAGCAGAAACGGCAGTAGATACTTGTGGTAATAATCCTTGAGAAACAAAACTTGCAGTGTTAAGAGGATTTGGCATCTGTCTCATCTGCAGTTTAAGTTGCGCAAGCTGAAAAAAAGAAACTTGAAAGCAGCTCATGTTGTAGCCATACTAATTGTTGCTGCTGTTGCTGTTGGTGCTGCTGCTGCTGCTGCTGTTGCTGTTGTTGTTGTTGTTGTTGTTGTTGTTGTTGTTGTTGTTGTTGTTGCTGCTGCTGTTGTTGTTGCTGCTGTTGTTGTTGTTGCTGTTTGAAGAGTTCTTGCTGCTTTTGGAAGGTGATTTGTTTCTGCTGTTTCAAAAGTTCAGCTTTCATGAGCTCAGCTTGCTGCTGTTGAAGTAAAGCTTGGTTCTGCTGTTGCAGATGAAGCTGGTGCTGGTACTGCTGTTGAGGTATTTGAGCAACACTCTTTCTTTTTTCAATCAACATTTCCATGATTGTCTTCGACACAGGATCAGTTGTGCTAGCCATAAACGCTTCAAGTTCTGAAAACTTGATTGTGAAGCAATACATTCCGAGAAGAAAGAATTACCTGGTAACGAGCACTTCTGGTACTGTTGAGGTAGCGATTCTGCCATGGAATTGAAAACCTGTTTCTGAAATGGTTTATATATGCCGTTCTTTTCAAAATCCGTACAGTTTTTAAGAGCTGCTGCTGCTGTTGATGTTGCTGTTGCTGCTGCTGGTGTTGTTGTTGTTGTTGTTGTTGTTGTTGTTGCTGTTGTTGTTGTTGTTGTTGTTGTTGTTGAAGCTGAGGTTGCTGTTGGAGACATGCCAGCAAGGTATTGAAGTCTCGGACTCCGAACTTATCTGCATTGCGCAAAAGGTCCTGAACTCAAAAAGTTAGAAAACGAAAAACTTAATCCGGGGTGAAACCTGAGGATTAATTTGCTGACTGGTCAGAAGATTCAAAAGATACTGATCACTAAATGAGGGCGTCGTACTAGTACTAGCCCCTTGCAACAACGACTGTAAAAGTTGACTCTTTTACTGATTCGAACGAAAAATCTTACCAAATATGGATGGAGAGCAGCAGATGACAAGACAGTTTGAAGTGCATTAGCTCCTTGCAATCCGGAAAGCGCGGCAGAAGATGTCATGGCCGAAGTTGGAACAGAGGAACTTCCTTGAGCAAGAGATGCCTGGGAGAGCACCACCCCGGGCTGCTGCATTTGAGCTTGAGCTTGAATAAGAGCATGCCCCAACTGTTGCTGAGCTTGTGCTTGAGCTAGAGCTTGCGCCTGCACTTGCGATTGGGCCTGAGCTTGCGCATGCGCTTGGACAAAGGCTTGAGCCTGAGACTGCGCATGAGACTGTGCATGTGCTTGGGCATGTGCTTGCGCATGTGCTTGGGCTTGTGCTTGGGCTTGTGCTTGAGCCTGTGCTTGAGCCTGAGCCTGTGCTTGAGCTTGCGCCTGAGCTTGAGCCTGAGCGTGAGCTTGAGCTTGCAAATGAGCCTGAATCAAATGTGTATGTGCCTGTGGATGTGTTAACACTTGTTGTATGGGAATCGGCACAGGAGGCTGGGGTTTTGGTTGAGAAGTTTGTAAAGATGATTGTTGAGTAAGAGATGTTTGCAAGATCGGAGAATGAGACCTAGATTTTTGATGAGATGGAGATTTCGAAGGAGAATTAGGTTGAGCTTGGCTCAACGATTCGGATACAGGAGCCTCCACTTCTTCTTGAGATTGAGGTAGGAATTGCTCTTCGTGTTGCATTTCAGAAACTGCTTTTGGTTCACTAGTTGAAGGTACATCCGGTGTACTATTGACGACAGCTCTGACAGGAGTTCCCAAAGTTAACGATCCTGGATCGATTTTGAAAGACTCTGTTTTATCCGGCAAATCTAATTTCACAGAAGTATCCATATCCTCTTCCTGTTTGATTTCATTCATGGGAGTAAAGACTGGTTCCGGTATTTCAGGAGATGGTTCTCTCGAAGGTAATTCTTCCTTAGGAGCAGTAGCTTCAGTATCCGGAACCATAACAGAGTCATCGGCACAGTCTTGAGATTCTTCTTCTATGAGCGAATCCTCTTCCCTAGAAATGTCAAATTAAAAAAACTTCCTAACTTGATTATACTCACATTTCCTGAGCTTCACGTATTTCTGACGCTCTTAAATCCTGTGAATCACGCACTTCTTGAGCTTCTCTGGCCTCACTAGACTCAGTAGTTTCCTGATCAGTCTTCTCTTTCTTTTCTTGTAGTCTTTTGGACAACAGGGCATGCAAAGCTTTGCATTCTTCAGGAGTTCTTTCAAGCATTCCCACAGCCACCGCATCCCACTCCTGATTTTTTTCCTCGGCTAAGGCCATCAATTGACTTCTCTGAAATTATACATAATACGCTATTGAAGGAAATTGTTTAACATACCTGGAAAGGAGTCCAGGGTCTGGATCCAGGGAACTTATAGTACATGGCAGCATCATCTAGTTCACAATTATGTGCCTTAGTGACGAAAATATTGAAAACATTGATGAAAACTGATGATACCTGCTCTATACGCTTAGCAATTTTCTTGTAGCACACCACGCAGAACTTTCCAGTTTCATCAAGGATGTTGAGATCATGTATGAGAAATACTCTGAAATTATCACTGAAGGTGTTAAGCCACACTGAATGCCTACTTCAAATCTTCTGGGAGTTTTCTGAAACTGTTAGGAATGATCCTATGTGCTTTTCCTCTCTTCACTCCTACACGACAGGCTTTGACAAAGCATTTACTGCAAGATAAATAAATAAAATATTGATTCAGGCACTCAAAATTACCCGGGATACGTTTGTTTAATTGCCTCATTGCGACATTTTTCACAATAATTGGCTATATCAAGACCCTTCTTGCTACCCAAACCAATGACTGAAAACAAAAGTCCGAAAGTGAAAGCAAACAAACATCCCTACCATTGATTTCATAACTTGAACGAGTTTGTACACGAGACATAGAAGGATCTACACGTTGATCACATTTTGCACATGTTAATTCCTGAGCGAGCGGAGCTGGAGCTGAAAGAGAAAAACATCGACATGAAAAACAAAAAAAAAATGCACCATTGCTCTCAGGATTTGAAACAGATGCTTGTTGATACAAATGTAGTTCTTCTTCCGTGGGCATGATCGGCGGCTGAGAATACAAAATGACATTACGGACAAAATGTCAGATCAATATACCTTATATGATTTGGCAATCTTTCGTTTCTTCTTTGGCAACAACGATTTTAAGCTGTTGGACTTTTTGGTCAAATAGTAGTACAGAACACAATCTTTCACAGTCTTTACAATAAAGTTTCAAAAACCAAAAAATTCGAAAAGTATTACCTTGCCTGGCAGGTACGTAGCAATATTAGCGTAATTCTTGCCGACAACTTGCAGTCTATCTCGGAAGATGTCAATTTCTTCTTCCGTCCAACCAGCCAAGAACTTTTTGAGTCTTCAATTAGTTAATGTAAAAGGAGAATAACGGAAAATTGACTCACCCATTTCTGTGCATGTCGTCAATATCATTTAAAACATTACCAATATTGTCAAAAAATGGAGGATTTGAAGAATACTGAAGAAAACAATGAACGAAGTTGTACTTTTATCATAAACAAACTTTGCTTCTCTTAACCATTAAGGGTGGAACAGCAGCCGCATTTAACATTTTTCGATCACTTTCATCCTAAACAAGAACACAAATAAGAAGTCAAAATGCAAATAAAGGATCACCTTATCAGAATTCACCGATAGATACGAAGCCGTTGCTTCTTGTCTAAGACTAATCCTCTCGGTTCTATTTGATCTCTCCTTCTCTTCGCGAAGCTAATCAAAACAACTTCAAAAACAGAAAAGAATAAACGAAACTACCTTCTTGAGGTCAGGAAACACAGTCTCATATATGACCCTGTTTTTCGTATCACGATTACTTGAAGTAAAACAATTAAACTGATCATTTGAAAACTTTGAACAAACGTTTTTTTCGGATGCTTTTCCCACTTGTCAACGACTCTTTTCCACTCATCTAACAGACGAGTGTACTCTTCACGTTCTCTTTTATACGCAGCTGTTTCAATTCTTTTGCGTTCTAAAAGCTTATCAACGATTTGCATTTGAAAATTCTGCAATGAAGAACATAGTAACAATAGAATCCCAACAACAACCAACCTTATTTTTCTCAATAATTTGTAATATACTAGGTAAATCTCTAGGTTCGTAGAACACAGGCTGAGGTTGGACCTCTAAAAACAAAAACTGATCTTTTACTTAATAAATCATACATACGCTGTGGTTTTTCTTCTTTATTTTTGTTTGAATTTTCCTTCAACTCTCTAGAACTTGAAATGTATCGTCTTCTCACAGGCTCAATGTAACAATGTTTAAAACGTGGGATTAATTTTTTTGGATCTTCCTGCTTAAAAAGTTCATCCTGGAAATATGTTCATAAGATACTCAATGAGTTGACTGATTACAGCGTAGGTATTGATTCGATCACACACCATATCTATCTTGGCCATTCCATTCTCTGTACAAATCATCTCGTTAGCTGCATCAACCTAAGTTTCAACGTGATCAAACTTCAGAAACAATCAAACATACAATATCATCATTTCTATAACTACATGATTCACCCGCATCGAAAGCACTCCTTTTGTCCGCAGGCTCATCCTGTTCCAGTGACTATAAATTACACATTTTGTTCCAAATTTCATAATATATACACAACGAATACCTCATCAACTCCATCAGGATCCTCGATTGAGTCAGAGGAGACTCCTTCTGCGTTAGCAGAAGAATCTTCTGGGGGAGAAACGGGATAAGGTCGTTTTCTATCAAGTCTAGCCTGCACAAACTTATTTATACAATGTCATAATATAAAAAATAAACCTGAGTTTGTGATTGTTCTGTTAATTCTGATGAGTTCACATTTAAATAAGGATCGATTTCAATATCTAAAACGTCCTGGGCCTATAACACAACAACGCGATAACAAAACAAAAATATTAATCATACCTTCAGCTTTAGTTTCTTATGCGCCAAACGGTAAGAACAAGCAAACTGCAAAAAATGAAACGTAAAAAGACTATACTACAAAATAATCACCTCTTCGCTCTTTTGTGACAGCCCTTGAAAAGGAGATGCAGAAAGTTTACCGGGAGCAGACTGGTCTTCACTGATTTCTCGTGAACCACCAGGACCCTAAATGTCAAAAATGAGTGCATCATTATGAAAGGTGACCGAACAACGTGTAAATGACGTTCAGAATGAAAAAAGTATGAACGAAAAAAAAATAAACGTGTAAAAAAGAATAAAGCAGAGTAATATAGTTGTCGTTTTCTTACTTACAAGACCATTTGAACTTGATTGTTGGAAATTCGTATTCATTCGAGGAATTCTACAAGAAAACATATAAAAAACATAAGTAAAAAGCTATATGAATGTACTTATTAAATGTTTTTATACGTTTTGGCCCCTGCTCGTTGTGGACTTTTGTCGGTTTGTTTAGTAACGAATCACCGACGCGTCGGTGATTTTTGCTCACAGCAATTCTAAATATATTTATTAATATATTGATGATAAGTTATGATAATTCACATCAAGCAGAATAATATATATCATCTATATTATTTTAATTACCGTAGAGGAATCAAAATAATTATTTTTAGTTTGGCACGTTGCCTAATCGTCTTAGATGTGCATGCGCCTACAGTAACCTGGTCAAATAATGCGACGCGGCTGCGGTGCGCTGACGTGGTGCGACGTCACTTGAATTATACGGACGTTGTACTTAGCCTTTTCGATCTTTTTCTCTATTTTTCGTTGGAAAATGTCAGCCGGTTGTTTCTCCTTAGTTGACGAAGTTTCGTAACTCTTACCTTCAACACAGAGCTTCCAACTCACTTTTGTATATTCATTACTGCCACATCATTGCATACGTGGCCTTTAGTCTCTTTTTAAGGAACTGTTAACAGTTTGATCATTCCAGAAGATGGGTAACGTATTCGGAAACCTCTTCAAGGGCCTTTTCGGCAAGAAGGAAATGAGGATCCTCATGGTTGGTCTTGATGCTGCTGGAAAGACCACTATCCTCTACAAGCTCAAGCTCGGTGAAATCGTCACTACCATTCCAACCATTGGTACGTTTTTTACGACTTTTGTCGATATATTGTTGATTTTTCTTCTTTTATAGGATTCAATGTTGAAACCGTTGAATACAAAAACATCTCCTTCACCGTTTGGGATGTAGGTGGTCAAGACAAAATCAGACCATTGTGGAGGCATTACTTCCAAAACACTCAAGGCATTTTTGGATGTCAAAATGTTTTAACCGTGTTCTGTTATAGGACTTATCTTCGTCGTTGATTCTAATGATCGTGAACGTGTCGGTGAAGCTCGCGAGGAGCTTATGCGTATGCTCGCTGAAGATGAGTTGAGAGATGCTGTTCTTTTGGTCTTCGCCAACAAACAAGTTCGTTGAATTTTAGAGGAGCATTGCAATGAATGAATTGTTTAGGATCTTCCTAACGCCATGAACGCTGCTGAGGTCACCGATAAGTTGGGTCTCCACACCTTGAGAAATAGATCGTGGTACATTCAAGTAAGTATAAGGGTCTGTGTGGGTTGATAATTGTATTTTGCAGGCTACATGTGCTACTTCCGGAGATGGATTGTATGAAGGCCTTGACTGGCTCAGCAACCAACTTAAGAACAGAACATAAGCTATGTCCGGAACTAGGTGTGTTTCGTCTTTCGTCACATGGCTTTTATCAATCAATGTTCAGCTTTGTGGCTGGGCGATAACAAGCTCGATTTCTACCACTCCGTATTTTCACTATTAGATTGTTTTAATACTACTATTCATGGTATTTATCATGTATGTAGAGATTTTACAATGGTTCATTCCTCCGTGCAAAACCTTTTTATCCTATCAATGCCTGCTACTAAGAGCCCTTCAGGGGGTTACTGGTTTCCTTTTTACTCGTTAATAGATACCCGACTCGATGGGGTGAACGTTTTATGTTTAACTTATATCAATTTTGTTGTGTTCTTCTCATCTGCTCTATATTCTAATTTATCTTTCTCGTGTGAATGAAGCATGATTTGTCACGTGTGTTGTGTTAATGCGTAATAAAGTTGGGCATCAACACCTTGTCGGTTCTTGTCGAGTTCCTCAAAACCACATGTTCTTAAGTCCATGCTCTGTTAGTTCAATCTCCAAGACTTTCCAAGTTTGTATTTTCATCCTTTGTAATTCGACGGAGTCAACATCATGTCGATGTTCAACTCGAATACGTTTTCATTCACAACGAGCTTCCGTGATCAGATTTGGAATAAAATTATTGAAAAGTCGGATTCTTGTTTATGCTTTCAATTGTATTTGGAGAGACTCCAATCTCGAATTCGAGATTTAATCGTTTTGGATGTGGTTACGTGGGACTTAAGAAGATATCAATTTATTATTATCTCATGAACAGGGCTGAGGCTATTATGTTGAAAAGCTGGAAAAGTATGAGACACAACAAGTCCAGTCTGTCGAATACATGCAACCACAGTTTTCGCAGTTTATCAACAGTTTCACAATATTGCAATTCTTCCTGCACAATTTGAGATGTCTGAAAAGATTCACGAATTGCTGTCAATATCATCTCTATCGCTCGCGGTCTCGTACTTTCTTTAATGTATCTTGAATCTTTCCGAATGGTCGATGATTGGATGTGTTCTCAGTGATGAAGTTTCTCGACGTGTCATTTGCTTCTATCTTAACGGAACATCGGAAAAGGATGACCCGCAAAAGCCTGAAAACCCTTTTACTTCCTTTGTGCAATTTTAGTTCACCATTGTGGTGGTTTCAAGGCCCGTGTGTGACACTTTTGATGTAATGTCAAGATGAAAATGGATACCAAGACTGCTGAGCCACAAACAAAAATTTCTGCCAGTATATAATTTCCTTTAATTAGGAGAAATCTTCAGAAGCGTTGTCGAATTACCTAATAAGGGTAGGCGAGACGCTTTGGGCATCATGTCTGATACCAAATTTAGCATCATGGAAATCGATACGAACATGTTGAGTCCCAGTGTCACCTAAGGGATACTTTTGGTTTCATTTGCAACGTTTAGAATAACTTTCTCTTTCCTAAAAGAGTGCTGACTGAAAGGAGTGAAAAGTCCGAAGATTGTCAGTGTGGACACTATAAATGTGGGGGCCTACAATTGTTTTTCATTTTCGAGTAAGAAAACTGATAAAAACCTGAATGACAAGTACATAATACACAGGTTTCCTTTTCAACGTGACCTTATACGTCGTTACGGAGTATAAACCTTGCTTCAAAAAAACAATTATACATTGCTGGAGATATTTTGTTCACCGTGAACGCGTCTAAAATCTTTTCATCGACTGCTTCCACTCCCACTAACTCCCATTCGCTGTTTCCCTGGAAATACTCAATTGCATGATGACTTATGCAGAAGGAAACTTCAAATCGGCCTTCTACTGGAAGTATTCGATCTGTTGATGTCTTCATGAGAATTTGTGAATCATCGAAATTCCAAGAGCCTAAATTTTCAAGATGGAGAGAGGCGGATGAATATCCAAACCAATGCTCATGCTGCATTTCTGAACATCAAACGGGAAATCTTCGATTCTCAAACTGCATGGCAATTCAATCTGTTAAACGAAAGCATTCATTAAACCTTAATCGAATCAACTTCGGAATGTTTATTTGTTTTTGTTCTTAGAAAATTAGTTGATCATGACTAACCACTGAAGGATTAGATTGTCGTAAGGTTCCATCATACTTCAAATCAATCATGCGCTCTTCTAGGGGTACCATCCCTTCCCTATCAATTCTAAACTATGATAAGCAAGTTTGCTTATTAGTTATCAATTTTAAAACAATAGTTACGCTTGTGTTTTTTGTAATTTTTTCGCAGAAACCTCAGGAATCTGGATTGATGAAACCGGCTTGTTCCAAGCCAACATTAGCTTGTAAATAATGATCACATACGCTGATTGAAAAATCACATCTGGGGTCCAAACAATAGACTCGGGAATCTTTATCCAATCTTTCTTATAACCATAGTCGGTACGATTCCATGTGAGATGCGGATCTTCCCATGTCTGAAATCGCGCTCATCTTAGTTCGAAATCCGGACACTCGACCCCGATTATGTCCTATGCAGATATAAAGATAAGTTCCAGTCGAGACATTACGTACAACGCTTGATTAGAAATATCGAAATAATAAGCAACATATGACTTTATAGGGTTACTACATGTTGATGTTTTGCAGAATAGACTGAAAAGCTTATCTATTGAATTGTTTTTTCATTTCAAAATCAGACAGCTCCATCTTATCGTTGTCATACTACGCAACATCGGTAGGAACTTTGTTCAGAGTTCATCAACTAGGGAACCAGAACTGATCGATTAGCCAAGTTAACCGCATGGTTTGTAATACTCATGTGATGAAATGATATGTCCGTATTTATTTTTTGTGGATCACTAAACCAATCTGTCGAGGGGTTTTTCAATTTTTTTTAAAAACAAAACTCGATTCGCGATAACTGTTTGATTTATAAAATGAACAGGCGAAGTGCGAAAGTGTCGGAAACGATTATAAATTATGCCATCAATTCTACTTTTTCAACTTTTCATGGCGAATCATCTGAATCAAGGTGAGCCTAACGTTTGACAGATACCATGCACTATACAGGAGAGTAACCCACCCTGCCTATCTTCCTTACTTCTGGACTTAGGCTTTTAAAAAACTCTTGATCTTTCTCTCATATCAATATTTAAAGAATAATTTTTGAAAACGGAAACGTTTTCGAAAGATTCAAAACAATGGGCTAGTTTGGGAAAGAACCTGAGGACACAACCGCTCTGAGCGTGCCCGCACTTGCGAATAACACTCAAAATTCAAAAGTTCAATTACGAGTTGTAATGGAGCATGGTAGATGGCTTCGTTTGAATGTTAAGGGATCGAACTAACTATAAGGAACTCTTGAAGAAAACGCATAGTCTCTTGCTGTTGGTCCATCATTAGTAAAACGTATTTGTTGGGGGTCACTGTTACCTGAAAAATCTTCTAAAGTTAGTGGTAGACGCTAATGTATTAACAGTAGTCACATCTTCCAAATTAAGTACAGGTCGTACGTCCATATCGTATTTTCTGTTTATTATAGACTGTTTCAGTCGATGAGTAGGTGTTACAGCTGTAGATAGATGTAAAGATACTAAACTGTCAATGTCATACCAATTGCGAGAGTTGAGTAGAGTAAGAGTTGGAAGAGCATTCTCTGATGAAATGGCGGTAATGAATCGGCAGCATTTGGGTTTGCGTATATCATGTTTCTACTTTCTTTTTTTTTTTTTTTGCGAATCCAAAAATAGTTCGAAGCTGGCAGATGAGTAATCGGAGTCTTCTCTATGCAAAAGTTCAAATAATGAGAAGTTCACGTTGCAGATGATCTTGTTGATCAGTTGTTGCCCTTATAAAACACATGCTTGACTGACATTTCCAATCGTTCTCTACAATTTATCTGTAATAAAAGTAAATTATTTAAAATAGGTAAGGTGAAGGGACTGAAAATATGTAAAGTCAGAAGAGAATATGGTTGTTCTTTGCTATAAGGCATCTCCGCCTTCTTAAAGTTTCTATTATGTTTACTTTACCTCATCTCATTAAAAATTAGTTGTTATTCTATATGTAACGAGAAATTTAGACGTTCTTTCAACTTCTCAAACTTCCTTCAAATTCCTCAATGTTCCAACTTTTCAAGAGAGAAGATATTGAATATTGAAATTTTTATTTAGTCAACTACAAATAAAGAAAGTAACAAGAGCATTGGAAGCTTGAAAAATTAGGAGCAGCAATGTATCCAATCGGTCAAAGAACTTCAACCATGCCAATTCACGATTTCTGAAAGTTGGCGGTTTCGTTTGTTATTTGTGATTGATAACCTGTTCATCCGTTCTTCCGTTATGCATGAAGTAATACCAGTGAGAGTTGTGTTCAGTTTTGAGAAAAATTCAGATCTGTTTAAATGTAGTTCAGGTCTTTTAGCATTAAACTTCCTTACCCTTCACCAGTGAATTTCAAGTCCTGTTCAGTCTCCTCCGACTTGTTCAACTTGAAATACCTACCTTTCTGAATTAAAAACTTTCTAGAGCCCTATAATTCGGATTAGTAAGAGTTAAGAAGTTAAAGTATTCACCGTTAATCGTAGAATAGCCAGAATCCAGTTAGGTGGTACCCAGCCCCTATGATCTCAACCTGATAACTACAGAGGGAAAACTGCATACCTGGTGTGGGCTTTATTATGAAGGAAAAGAACAAAAACTGAGCAGAAGACACCAATGGAAACAACGAAAATTTCAGCCAAAATGAAGTTTCCTGGAAGAGACAGAGGTTCAGAAGTCAGGTTGAAGTGTTACCTAGTAGTGGGAGAACAGATGTTTTCGGCATAGAGTTAGCGATAATTTCCAAGATAACAGTTGAAGATAGTAACGTTGTCAAGCCAAGATTTACCTTCATCAATCAAGTTAGATCGTTAACCATCATCATCCTAACCTTCTCCTCTCTATCTCCTATATTGTTTGTGGGACTGAATAAACCACAAATACATGTGGTTGTTATAATGAATGTAGGGATAAGCAAAACCCAAACATAGAACAGAGGTCGTCTCTGGACAACCAACTGGAATGAGATAAGAAACTCCAGATGATTACGAACACTTACCTTGAAAAGAATCTCAGTATATTCAAAACCAACATCATCATCCGTGCTAAGAAGTACGCTGCTTGTCAAGTTCTCGAAATCCCATTCGGAATTACCCTGAAATATTCAAACTCAATGAGTGAAATTACAAGCTTACAACAAATGAATCGGAAAGATAAACAGTTCCCTCTCTACAGTAAATTTCATCTGCCGTATAGGACCACGGACCAATGGCTATGTCACATGTTTGAGAATCATAAGGGAATCGGGTAATCTATTAGTGAACAGCTTCATGAGCTTAAGAATATGATCTCTCACTTTCATATTACATAAATTGGTATATACAGCATAAATGCTTTGTCGAACATGTCCATCATAACGAACATCCAAATATCGTACGCGTTCATCCAACAATTCAGTTTTATGAATACTAAAGAGCAAACTGAAGTTGAACCCGTATTAGCGAACCTTGTTGATACAGTAACATCTGGACGCCATATTTGAGTTTCTTTCATTTTTAACCAGGTTATGTTACCATACTCAGTTCTATTCCATTTCAAAAATACATCTTTCCACTCCACTATGAAATCAGCAGAGAAAGTTATTGTTTCAGCTGCTTGATCCTTAAGAGGTGACTAGCTACTCATATGTTATGTGACGAACCATATTTAGCAAACTCAAACTGTTGGCAGAGATAGTTAAGTTCAACACATCTTCTTCATTCAAAACCGGACGAACAGACGGATCGTACCCATTGAGAATGAGCCGAATGATTTCAAGCTCCGAGGCTCCTCCACGAGCATCGGCTCCTAAAATATTTGATGAAAAGAACTCAAATCCGAACTAACCGCTCACAATTACAATAAGTAATGAAGCTTGTAAACACAGTATAGAAACATGCAGCATTAGGGGCAAATTTCAGTTGACAGAGAGACTTTTCCGTCCAAAACTATCGAATACACCGAAATTTGATATTTCTCAGCAATTTCTGAATAATGACGACACGTAGGGAAGACATATGATGTACATGGGAAAGCTGAATATATAATTTTGGCGAAAATATCAATGAAGATTACCCTTTTACCTGGCATAGACAAGACATCGCAACTTACTGAAAATGCAGCCGGATCGCCGCTCATCAACACCTCAATTTGATAACAGCAGTGAGCAAACGTGTACTGAACGCTACTTCATTAAAAAAGCCACGTGCAAGTGTGCATTACTTGGAAATGATCGCATCACTTTGATTTGTGACACACCCTGTTTGTTGTGTTTTCTCTTTTCTCTGTCTGCTCTCTCAATTCCTGATTTATAATTTGTGATGGGCAGGAATTGTTACCTTACAATTATGGGTTTAAAGAATGACCAAGATCTCATAAAAGTAGCTGTTATCTCAAACAGTTTTTCTGATTATTTAAACAAGCATAGTAGAATTGTATCTCTGATAACGAGATTTATGTCCTCAAGCATATATATATAAAGAGCAGTTGATAAGAATCACGGATTTATTCCGGTACCATGGCATCTCTCCGTGTTGCTCTGGCCCTTCTTGGTATACTCAACAATCAGCTTCGTAATAAAACTTTGTTTCTTTAGGCTTGGCTTGTCTCATCAATGCCGTTCCTGTTGAACAAGTTGTTAGCAAGCGTAGGCATATGATTGCTGGACGCCCTCACTTTGGACTTGTTCCTAAGCCACAGGTTCAAATAACCATACGGAGTATATGAAACTATGTTGCTTAGGTTGGAGAGTTCGTCATGCAAGATTCTGTCGTTTCTGGAACTATCGACAACTACATTGATCATTTGAACAAATCTATGGGAACTTTCAAGCAGGTAATGATAAATTACAAAAGACAGAGTAACAGGAGGGATATCTCATTCCTTATCGATCGTTTCTATAAAGTTTCAAAAAATGATAAGAATGAAGAAATCGACAAACAGTTCTATATCATATCCTATTTTGCACTTTACAGAGATATTGGTCCAACAGTCAATGGTACAAACCAGGAGGACCAGTCTTCTTCATGCTTGGAGGAGAAAGTGCTGAGAATGGATATTGGGTTTCTGATGGTAAGCTTATAATCATTTAGACGAAATATTATTTCAATGCTCTTAGGTGATCTTGAATGGACTCAAATGGCCAAAACCCACGGAGCCCAAGTCTACCTCGTTGAGCATCGTTATTACGGAGAAAGTCGTCCAACCCCGTAAGAAAGACTATTTGAAAGTTTTAAGTGAATGGTGTTTACAGTGATATGTCTACTAGCAACTTGTTGTACTTGAGTTCCGCACAAGCTCTTGAAGACTTCGCTTACTTCATTACTGTAACCAAATGACCTCAGTCAAAATATACGATTTCCCTTTCAGTTGATGAAGACTCAAAACCCTAACTTCCAAAACGTTTCATGGGTTACTTTCGGAGGATCTTACTCAGGTGCGAGTTCTCACTGAATCATGCGAATAATTTGTCTGTCTCCAGGAAACTTGGCTGCCTGGATGAGAATCAAGCACCCAGAACATGTCACTCATGCCGTCGGAAGCAGTGGACCAGTCCTTGCTGAACTTGACTTCGTCGGTATGTTATTCAATCTCTCGCTGATTTAATATTGACATTTAAGAGTATATGGAAGTTGTAAGAAGCTCCATTAGCCAAACCTCTCAATCCTGCGCTGATTCCATTACTGCCGGTATGAGTCAAGTTGCTCAACTTCTTCAAACCGCTGCTGGACGTACAACTCTCAAGTCCACTTTCAAGTAGGGACTCCATTAATAATACAGAGGTTTATTCGTACTTCCAGCTTGTGCCAATCTCTTAACATCAACGACGCCAACCAAATCCAAAACTTCTGGTCCTCTTTGTTCGGACCTTACATGGAGACTGTTCAATACTCTGGAGACAACGCTGTAGGAACTGAATATCGAAACGATGATTACTTCTGATTGTTTAAGGGTGTTTTCAAGAACTCTGTTACCATCAACAGAGCCATTTGCAAGTTCCACAACAACAACTCTTCTTCCCTCTTAGACAGACTGAAGCAGGTATGATAGTTGCTTATGAATATTTTTAATAACCGCATAACAGGTCAACAGTTACTATGACGCCGTCTTCGGATATTACGGATGTTCTGATATTGATTACAACGGCATGATCACTTGGATGCAAAACACTGCTTTCGGTGCTGAATCCTCTGACAGTGAGTTATACTACTTTTTTTTTATTGAACATTCTCTTTTTTAGCCAGAGCCTGGGTTTACCAAACCTGTACCGAATTCGGATATTACCAAAGTACCGACTCTGTTACTGCCGGACCATTCTGGGGAGGACGCGGAAACGTTAACATCACGTAAGAGCTGCTAGATCTTCATGTACTATTTTTTCTACACAGCTTCTACACTCAACAATGCGCACAAGTCTATGGTCCCCAATTCACCAACTCCAATATCCAAAGCGGAGTCTCTGGAACTAACTGGTTTTACGGTGGACGTACAATGAACGTAAGACTTCCATTTCCATCAAAAGCTCAACTAAACTCTATTTCTAGTCTTCCTACATCATTCTTCCCAATGGAGACTTTGACCCATGGCACGCACTCGGAAAATTGAACACTGACTTGGGATCTACCATTGTACCTGTCGTCATTCACGGTACCAGTTTATCTCTATGATACAAGAAAGAACACCGTTTTCCAGGAACCGCCCATTGTGCCGATATGTACCCAGCTTCTTCAACCGACTTGAGCAGTTTGACCAATGCTCGTAAGAAGATTGCTGATACCTTGGCAGGATGGTTGAATAACTAACGCCCTGTTTAATAACTTTTAATTCTAATAATAAAAATGTTATATTAAAGTGATAAAAGTTTATTACTTCAGGTGTTAAATCTATTATTATCACGTCGCGAAAAAATTCAAAACTGATTGCCATGTAGATAAGCATGAATAGTTCTCTAACTTCTCAATTACAGTTTGTATGTTTCTTACACCCATTTCGTGCGTCAGAAGTCCGGCAGGCTCTGGATCACAATTCCATTTCCGTGGCTATCAAGATATCATTATCAGAAGAATCTTCCACAACCCACATTATTAATGAGAAAGTTATCTAAGTCAAGTAGCTGTATTTCAGCAGCTTCAGCAAGAACTCCCGTGATATAAGCATCTTCAACTTCGAACACCTAATAGTAGACAATCATTGCATAATTTGAAAACTGTGCATATTCACCTTGTGATGCCTTATTTCCTTCCAGAGCATTGTAAAAGTGAAAGGGAAAATAATATACAATGGCCCACTACAATAGTTTGGTAGGACAACGGGGGAATAACTCCGATTAGATATAAACCTGGAGAAAGAAGCAGATGACTCTTAACAGAAAGACATACCATCGACTGTGATAATCTCTTGTTACTCGAACATAATAATTAACTTTACAAGCAATTTGAAGACGATTCGGGTTCGAATGTAGTTTGATCAGATCTATAATCTGAAACAATATCCTAAATTTTTGTTTCAACTGCTCAACTCACATGACCCGGACGTACAACAACATCACTGTCAACTTTGACGATAGCAGCAAACGGGAATGAAAAAGTTGCCCACTTATAAGTTGCCAATAGCTTAAAGCAACACGGTTGTATATGAGAGAGAGAGTTCAGGACACTTTGTAAACTAAGTTCAAATATGTTTCCTCTACATCAATCTGAAGGATATCGTTATGCAGAGCATGCTCCTGTTGTATTTTTTCATCATACGCATCCTGACGTCCTACGACGAACAACATAGCGTTCTTATTTGTCTGATAAAAAATATTATTCTGTTAAAGTGCTCTACATACTGAGAAAACATTAGTGTTCATTGGATTAGCCCATGTTTGGCGGATTTCGGATCGAATGAGAAACTCCTCAGCTGCTGATAAGATTATAAAAATGACTTCTAATTCTGAGGAGAAGTTCACATATGTCTTGTTGAGACTGTAATGCAGTAGGTTATCATTTGCAATATCATTTCACTCACAATAATGGATCTGTTTTAAGGATCATCGAAACGAATTCTTCTTTCTCAGTCCAATTCCCATGATCAATCGACTGCAAATTGGGATCAACCATTCTCGATATATTCATTAAAAACACAATGCTGATCATTGTCAATGCTTTTAAACAGTTCATTAACGTTTATCTACATGTAAGCTTACCATAAATGAGTAGCCAACTCTTATGAGTGAACTTCATGTTTCGATAGAGCTGATGGCAGATCATTTCGGAGCTGTTTCTCACCTGAGGGGTCTTACAGTGCACAGACTCCACCAATGAGGAAGCCCTTCTGATGTCTTTTTGAAACAAAAAACAAACAATAAATTTCTTTGTAAAGCTTATTGGCGAAAAAAAATATTTAAGAAAAACCAAACCTGTATGCACAAACTAACTTTATAATTATGAAGGAAGACAGAGCTGTATTAATTTGTAATCAATACTGTTTATTCAGGATTTGAACATACTGAAGTGATTAAGCTTTGAAATAAATCCCGGGCATATCTTGCTCGCAACGCGACTTAATATGCTAAATAATGAAATCAGACTAGTCAATGTGTTCTGTTCCCGCCAATATCATTCTTAATGTGTATGCATTATCCATGTGAATCAGTTGTATCTGCCGTTTCATATTTTTTCATTCATATTGTTTTTCAGAAGACACACATTTCATCTTCAACGCAATGAGATTCTGTGAAGGTTGATTCAATTGGCCAATCTATTCATAGTGGTGACTAAGAGATTGCAAGAAAACTTCCATTATTGTCTTCTTTGTTTCGGAACTTATGATAAGATCGTCTCAAAACGGTTGCATTCTGTGAAACTGCCAGATTAGGAAATGAACAGCCAACAGCTTTTCTTATAATTGTAGTCTCGAAAAAGCGGAATGTGTAGCTGTTTGCTGTCAGAAGCTGGTGCATGGTCCTTCAATAGTCGTTAAGCACGTATACTCTAACAAATCTGAAACTCTAACGATTAATACATATTTTCTAATCTATGCTGGCAACTGTTGGTATACTACACAAATTAGTGTTTGCTATCTTTTTAATGAACTACTCTGATGGCTTCAATTGCCATGTAGCTCTTGTGTTGTTCTCCCTTAACTTCGTTAATCATTTCTCTCACTTTTCTGCTATTGTGTTATATACGATTTCTTTCTACGCTCAATTTCTTTTTGTCTGTCTTCATCATTTTGAACTCATCTCACTCAATTTCATCTTTCTCTTTTGTCTGTCTCTTCAACTCACACCACATTCAGCTTTGCCCGCCTCTCTATCTCTATTGGCCTCCTTCCATCTCCTCATATCCTTTCTATCTTCTGCTATCCGAAGTCTTCGTTTTCCTAGCTCTCTTAGTTCATGCTTCGGAGATTAGTCCTCTGCTAGTTATGACGTCAGTGTCCACAACCTTATTGTTTCTTTTAATATCGAACACTATTGGACCTATATCAGCCAGGTAAGCAAAGCTTTGAACACATTTTGACAGCTTTGTGATTTTATATCTCGTAGTTTCATCTTTTCGAAATTTCCGATCAGAACTTCCTACACCTTATACATGTTTTGGTGTACCGAACCATGTGATGTTGTAAAATCAAGTCAATATGTATAGTTATTCGATCGTTAGCCCAATGATTCGACGATCATCTCTAAAGTTTCAATAGAAATGATCGTTTTTTTGACTGCTCATTTCATATCCAACGCGAAATCTCATCTACTTCGTCTTAGTTCACTCGTTCTTTCAGCTACTTTGAACAAAACTGCAAAGGACCACTTCCTGGTGATTGTGATCCACAAGCTTGTGGTGGTCCTTGCGAGTCGAGATATGTCAGGTCGGGTTAAAGTTTCTCATAAAGTTTGATGGAGTTTTTTGTTCAGGTTTCATGACCAAGCAATTAAAGGTGATAGAACCATTAAATCCTGTCAGTGCTTAGATGTTCGTTTCTCAAAGATTTTAATCTTTACTCGTATGATTTTGCAGGATAAGTACTGTTCCTTATCAGGTGTTTTGTCTCAAGCCGGTTGTAAGGCTTATGCTGACTTGGGCACCACGAGCCAGCGTTTGATTCGCACATGGACGATGGATAGTCGAGACAGAAGAAATCGTTACAGCAACGACATACTACTCAGATACAGTGATAAACTCCGGTTAGTTTTTTCATTCTCATATTCAGGATTGTTTCTCTTTTTTCTATGGAGAAGGAAAAATGCATAAATCATAAACAGACATATCCTAAATGGCTATCCGTTTTAGGCATCAGCAGTTGATCAATGGCAATTCGTTGTTCTGCTGTCGTAGCCGTCGTGCTTCCAAAAAGCAAGCTATGTATTTAAAATCAGCTGCCTCGTTTATGATAATGCCGTTACTTTACTTCTTGACATTCCTCTATCTTAATGTATGATGATACTTCACTTGCTGTACGGCTTACATCTGCTCAAATCATGGGTTGTGATAAATCAATGTTCCTAGTCATATGTTATAAAAAAATCTTTTTCCTATAAATAACTCTGTTGGAATCATCTTTTTCTCGCCTTTTAAGCCATATTTCGTTTTTAGATCGATGTCCTTCATTCAACATGAACAACTGACGTTTATTTTAATGTAAAATGTGTTCTAAGCTACGCAACGCACATCTCGTAATACTAGCTGAGCGATACCTCTTCCACTTTGTGTACACTTTGAAAAAAAATTAAATCCTAAAAACCTTATTTCTTCAGGATAACAAGAACAATACTCAACAATGGTAACAATCAAAAATGAAATAGCAGATTATAGTTCTAATTGTCAGCTGCCTCAGTTGTCTCAACCTCCTTGGCTTTCTTCTCCTCCTTCCTCTTCTTCTTTTTCTCCTTCTCGCTCTCGATTCTTTGGGCCTGAAATTTGAAAATTACATTAATCATCTGATGGGACTAGAAACCTTTCTCTTCTGATAATCTTCCAAGTTCTTATGCGTTACTTTTTTGAAATAGCTACCAATAGGATCCTTGGTGTTCATCAATTCGTTTTTCAGTTCGTCTGTGATTGTTACTCGGCTAGTATTGCTACTAGACAAGTCAATTTTAGTTACAGATGATCTGAGTAATGGTCATTCACAAAGTATTATCTATCATGACTTACCTAGTCACAGCCAAAATATGGTCTCCATTTAAACAAATATCTACAACAATATCATCGAGACAGACTGATCCACGGGGAAGTATTTGACTTCCGTCGTCCTCATGAACGTAAATATTTTTTTCTCCTTCCGTAATTGCATAAATGAACACCGATTCTTCCTGTAAAATGACTTCAATTATTGAGAGGCAATGGAAAAATTACCTTCTTATAGCTGACTAGTTTTCGAACGGGATCTGAGTCTGACACTTTCGTTTGCAACCTTCTCATACAGGAACCGTTAAGCATATTCCATCGAATCAACATCGAATCCCCACCTAAAGAACACACACAAATATCAAGAAAGTGAGCTCTTATCTAACCTGAAGAGTAGAGAGCGTCATCGGCAACTGTGAATGATCGGACATATTCGGTATGGCCCAAGCAATATGCCTCAGTAACAAAAGCCTGAAACAAACATGGGAATTGATCAGAAGAAGAAAACAACAGACAAAACAAATTTCAACAGTATTTGAACGATCAAAAATAATCCACATAATTGACGGAAAGACGTGACCGCCTATTTTAACTTGGACTATTTTAACTCGATGCAGACTGTGGGAATCTGTTGTTCAAAACCAGAAACGTTGACAATAAAATGAAATGAGGGAGTAAGAAAATTTACCTGAGGATAACGGGAAATACGGATTTTCTCATCACGGTCTGCGAACAAAACATATTTTCCATCAGTAGACACTCCTACATCCAGAACCATTGATATCACTCCAGTGAGAGGCTCTCCTTCGTGACCACATACTTCTCCTGAAGATTTGTGGTTTGAGAGTTAAGCATCAGGAGCTCACCGGTGATATCCTTATGGTTCACATTGATTGGCTCTGTGATTTTATAACGACAAACATGCCCAGCCCGATCGCCAATAATGACATATTCATTAGCCTTAACAGGAAGATGCTACTGTTTAGTGGAAAAAAGCCAACCCTATCAAAGACCATAGACGTGGGAGCTTTAGGAACTCTAAAACCACGCACTAACTCAAAGTTTTCCGTATTGTAAACAAGGGCTACTTTCGATGTTAATCCAATCGCATAGTATTTCTGATCGTGTGACATACTCGAACACAGGATCTACAACCATCACGTAATTGAGAAACATTGAATAAACCAACGGAGTTTGAATCCACAGAGCTGAGGTTTTCTTTC